TTAAGCAAGATAACCTAATAAAGCCAAGCAACATTACCAGTGAGAGAAAGGTTCTTTCAAGGTTTTCCTACCTCCAACAAGGTAAAAATAAATCCAACCATAAAGTTACAGAATGGACCCAGTTTCACCAATACAAGCTCATATCTTACATGATAGAATGAAAATTTAAATTTGCATGACAAAATGTTCTCGCTCTATGCTTTCCCTCATGCCAGCTTTCTGTGTTCAGAGATTTATATTTTTGCTGAAGGACGGTCCAGTCACACAAACACCCAGCTGCTGTCCAAACTAGTACAGACTAGATACAGGTTTACTCCCTTGAGGAGAATTAGGCCTTAGTCACACAATCTGTTAGGCCAAAAGAGAATATCAAGTCTTTCATTTGAAATACTGTTCATTCTTGGAATCCAAATACCCAAGAAGATGTCTGGCTAGGCAAGGAGGGAGCACAGGGGGAGGGGTGTTGTTCCTTTTTATTCCGGTAACTACCTTGATAAGGCCTTTGGCGGAGACAATGTGATTTGACTGAGGCCACCTAGTGAGCTTTATGGATAAGCAAGACTTTGTATCCAGATTCCCTTGGTCTAAATCTTTGTAATGGCTGAAATCCTATTGGGCAGGTTCTGCCTCTTCAATGAAAATGATGTTGTCATGACCGGCAGGTTGCCGGTGGTTCAAGGCTTTCTTTTTTTTAATTGGCAGTATTTGCTAGCCCTGGTAGTTTGTCCAATAGATCTCTAACCTCTCTTTGAAGAGGATTAATAGCAGCAGCCCATTGTTGCTTGAATTCTTTTATTTTTCAACTACCTTATACATTGGATCAAAATTATCTTGAGGCCCTTTCACTGACTTATTCTCCACAATAGGATAGTCAGCTTCCCCTCCTAGGCTTTTTTTACGCAAGCATTATTTGCTCCAAATAATGAGTCTGCTGAAGCTTCTTCAATTCTTGTGGATTCTTTACTCATATCTTAAACAGTTACTGTTACTTTCAGTTATTCTCTTTTCTTAGTTTAATTATTAAGTATTTTGGTGTAAAGTCTATGGAGATTAGGCAAAAGCAGCCATTTTCTCTGTGTTGTCATGGCATCCCCAGACATACTGCTGTTTAATTCTGCTTCTATTATATGTATGCCGTCCAGAGTAGACTATTTGCCTAGATGAGCGGGGTATAAATCTAATAAAATAAATAAATAATTGTAGCAATCTTGAAAATACAACAGTTATAGATACAATGTCTTATTTTTTGCTTTAATGTGTCTTTTATTTATTTATTTATTTATTTATTTATTTATTTATTTATTTATTTATTTTACCATAGTACTGCAATATTCTTCCATTTTTTAAGGTACAGGAATTTGCTTATGTTTATTTTCTCATCCAAATATCTAGTACTGCAACATTCTTCCATTTTTTGGGTACAGGAATTTGCTTATGTTTATTGTCTCATCCAAATACCAAATTATTCTTTCAGAATTATTAATATGGATAGTAATAATGAATTATGCAGGTATAAATATAAATATAAATATAAACAAACAGATGGAAGGTGGGAGAAGTTGGTGTTATTTGCATAAAGTTGAGTGTGGCTTTGCCAACAGACAGAACTGTTGTGCAAGAGTTTTACTGGGCTGTTTTATTATGTTTTGTCAAGTCACTTAAAATACTTCAATTTTATGTACCAAATGTTATTATGGAATTTGCATATTTATTCTCTTTGCACAGGATCCTGGATTAGGAAATGGCATATTTATGCCCGCAAGTGAAAGGATACCTGAAGATTTAGCAAGAAGACACCGGGGGAACGTATCTCGAACACCTTCAATAGCTGTTTCTCGGACATCTTTGTCATCTGGTAAGCATTTTATTTGGTGTTGATTTTGCAGGATGTTATCAGATGCATTTAAGGAAAGATGACAAGGGCTGGATCGGGTGACTTCTTCAAGCCAAGCATATGCCTCTGCCACGGAATTATGATCCCTTCCCACCAGCAGAGGGATATCTTATCTATAGCTAATGCATATCAAAAGTGAAAGCATGGGTGCTTATTGCTAAGCATCCTTAATAATAAACGTAAAGTTATTGCTTGCAGACTCTACCATGCCGGAATATACCATTTCTTTTTATGGTAAGTCAGTTTTTCCCATTTTATTTCTTCATGTATTTATTTCTATAATAATTTGATTTATTTATCTATATATTCTTTATAGATTTCAAGGGACTTAACACATTCTTTTCCTTTTCTGTTCTATTCTGCAGATCGGAGCAGATCAGAAATAGATCTCAGTGGGTCTATTTCAGAAGGAAATGAAGATGCTTTAAGCATAAGAAGTAGATCTGTACCTGGAGCATTGGACCAGGAATTGGTGAGTTAAAATTCACATCAAGTCTATAAACCAGATAGTGCTGTCTTTATATTTGCATCATTTTACAATGGCTAACAGAAGTTTGGCTGTATCAAATTCAGTACTTCATTTGTGTAACAGTTCATACTGAGAGAAGAATAAGAGAAACCTTATTGAGCAAGCAAACAGGTTAACTGCATATGGGTTAACCAGAACACATGTACAGTAGGACCCCCGTATCTGTGGGGGGGGACTGGTTCCAGGACATACACCCTGCGGATGCTGAAAAATACGGATTATACCAAATGCTATTTTGATAACATGGTCTCTACCTATAGTGGACAGTTCTGGTAACTTATTTTTAATAGTTCAGCAATGGTGAACCTATGGCATGCATGCCACAGCTGACATGCATCTCTGTGGGCACGTGAGCCATACATTGCTGGATTGCTACCCCTGGCAGACATACCTGAGGAGGCGGCTGCAGCTGCAGTGCTAGTGCCCCTACAGGTGGTGGGCCAGGATCTGAAGCAGCTGGTGCTGGCAAGGGTTGGGCCGGACTGGAGATGGATCCAGAGTGGGGTCTGGAGGCACCTCCATGCCTGGGATTCCCCCTTTTGCTGCCACTTCTGCTTCCACCGCCACTGTGGCTCATCGCCCACTGGTTTTTTCTTTTTCTTTCTTTCTTTCTTTCTTTCTTTCTTTCTTTCTTTCTTTCTTTCTTTCTTTCTTTCTTTCTTTCTTTCTTTCTTTCTTTCTTTCTTTCTTTTTTTCAGTTTGGGCACTCGGGCTCAAAAAGGTTAGCCATCACTGGTTTTAAAAGTAAAGGTTCCCCTTGACATTTAGTCCAGTGGTGTCCAACTCTAGGGAGAGGTGCTCATCCCGTTTTCAAGCCGTAGAGCCAGCGCTTGTCCAAAGACAGTTTCCATTGCCACGTGGCCAGTGTGACTAGGGAACTCCGTTTTACCTTCCCACCGTGGTGGTACCTATTTATCTACTTGCATTTGCATGCTTTCGAACTGCTAGGTTGGCCAGGAGCTGGGACAAAGTGACGGGAGCTCATTCCGTTGCGTGGATTCAATCTTATGACTGCTGGTCTTCTGACCTTGTGGCACAGAGGCTTCTGCGGTTTAGCCCACAGCGCCACCACATCCCATCACTGGTTTAGACCATGGATAAATGAATCAGTAGATACTGATCCCATGGATATGACAGTGTGAGACAGAAGGCAAGAAGGATGCCCCACTCGCTGGAGAGCTGTCCCTCCCCCACAGCAAGAATAAGGAGGAGAGTCCCCAGGCAGCACCAGAACTTGAGGCAGAAGCTCAGCAAGGGACAGAAATAGAGGAGTTGACTGAGAACTTGCAGGGTGTGACAACGAGAGAGGTCCAGGAGGAAAAGGCGGGAAAAGAAAGGAAGAAGAGACTGGGGTTTGAGGCAGGAACAGGGGAGGTAAAAAGGAAGGAGAGTCAGTTGCCACCAGGCTGGGAATGGGGGTGGATGAAGGATCCCTGGACAGGATTATGGGAGAGGCTGAGAGTGCCTAACGAGGAGGCGGATTATAGAAGAAGAAGGGAGATCCCTCCCAGACCCACTTATTGAGGAGAAGCTGAGGCGAGAGAGTGGAGGAGGAGGTTGAGAGAAGAGAAGGAAACAGTAGAGACAGAAAGGAGAGAGAAGTTAGAATGGAGAATAAGAGAGATGAGGAAGAAGAACTACAGGGAGGACCCTGGGAGGATCGAGACCCCGAGGGATGAACTCCGTGGAATGTCAGTCGGGAGGACGAGACCATGCCCTTGTTGGAAGGTTCGACGGGGCAAAGCATGAGAGACTGGGTCCCTGTTGATTTACCGGGACCATGGAACAATAGTTATGGCAACCCGTTCCTGTTTGAAGATTGGAGAACCCTCCCAGACTTGTTGGCAGAAGGAGATGACTCATAATCATGTCACGGACACTTGTTTACTGTTAAATGGACCAATAAATCTTTCACATGTTTTGAAGCAACAAAAATCTACTGATTTTTTTGAACAGAAAGAGGAGCCTAAAACCGAACCCTCACAGACAGTCCTACTGCAGTTTGCAAGTTTGCTTATATGTCCCATAAATAGAAGCATACTGTCTTTCCCTTCTGTTTTCAGTGGACTACAGTGCAACCAAAACGATTGATGGAATGGCTAGCTCTGTATGCTCTCAAGGCTTCTGTGTGACGTGTAGTTTTGTATACAAAAAATTTACTAAAGCAACGGTCTGGTGGTATTTTTAAGACGAACAGGTTAGATTTGGCAAGAATTTTTTGTAGTCGTAGCCCACTTTTTATATAAATGGGCTATATTCACACATTTGCATGCACAATGGTTCTGGTGTTGGGAGTGGGGCAGAATGTAATAAAATGTATACTTCCAATAGAATGGTTAACATAAACATCTTGGCAATAGGAAGGTGAATTACACGTCAGTTATCCTCTAAGTTGAAGCAATTGGTTCAGCTTTCAAGAGAGTAAAACATGATCTGAGACCAGAAGTGACCTATTTGTCTCATATTCCTTTTGAAAAAAATCATTTAATCCAAGTAGGGTAATAAAACAGATACATCTCCATGGATGTACTCATATATGTAATGAGATAAGAAGCCTCTATTTTTGTTCAAGCACCAAAATACTAAGAGGTATGCCTGATTCTCATTATATATTTTGGTTCAAAGTGTATCAAGCTTCCCTTTAGAATTTTGTCTTTGAAGTTTTTCTGTTCAGTCATACTGAAGCATGAGATTCTGAACAGTGTTCAAGAAAGACTGGGTTTTTCTGTCAGTCGTTCTTGAATATTATTGTTTCAAATGTTTATTTTGTGTCGCCATAGTCCTTTGTATAGAGGATGGCCAGATCTTGTGTGCAGATTATCTCATTTCCTAGTTCTGCGGACAAGCTTTTACTCTCAATCTCCCTTGTTCTCTGTCCATTAGGATTATCTTGAGGAAGAGGAAGATATTGATGACATTGTGGCCTCCGGCTACTCAAAGAGAAGGACCAATTTGAAAAGTGGTTTATCAACAGTAAGTCCCCATAACCTTTATGTTTTTGTTTTTTAGAGTTCATCCTGCAGTGGATTACGTTGTATTTCATATGCTCTTACTTTATTCTGCTTTTTAGTAAAAGTTGTAGAATGTTGCATCACACAGTTCATATTCCCATTTCTTATACTAAATTTCCATTTTCTGCAACCACATTTTCCAATCCATATTACTCCCTGGTCACGAATAACTTGCACTCTAATTCCAGAACATGTTAAAGCTTCTATCAGATATATCACATCCAAATGACCCCCAACAATGGGTTGTGCTAGAATTTGGAAGGAAAGAGCAATTATACATGGGAGAGGACTTTAAACAGTTACTTTAAGCTATGGATACTATTTATGAATGTTTGACATTCCCAAAATATAAAATGAATGTGAGAGTTCTGTCAGTGTACAAGATAGAGGCAGCTTTCTTGGGTCAAGATTGATAATCCATCTATTAAAATCTTTGTTATTGTTGTCACATTGATGCATTAGGACATTAGTTTATTTATTTATCTGATTTATATACCACTTCATTAGTGCACAACATACTCTGGGTGGTTTACAAGTTAAATCTTTAAAATCTAGATACTTCACATAGTACTACATATAACAATACATATTAAAAATAATAATACAAAAAGAAAAGAGAAAGCAAAAACAGAAAAAATATAAATATTAAAAACATCTGGGAGACTTGGTTTTTAAAGAAAGGTTTGAATGTTTAAGTTTTCAACAATTTCCTGAACATGGCAGAAGGAGCTGTTGGAAAATCTAGATTTTGAAGATAAATCTGTTTTTCTGTTTTCCTAAAGATAGCAGGCATGTAGTTGAATTTACAGTTATCTTGCACACATATGACCATAAGGGGTAGGGGGAACTAGAAAGAAGTGCAGCTGTGTGTATAGTGCATTTATACTGGAGGAAAAGTGGTGGATTCATGTTCAGTGTTGGTCTCACAATCAAAAGCAAAAGAAAGTTAAAAAGCCATATAAGTTACTTGTGCACGATTGGGCATATTCTAATGAATAAAGAAATATGGACTCCTTTGCACAGACTGACTGGTCAGATTCTTGTTGCTTAGCATAGTAAATGGCACTAGAGTAGGCCTGTTGAAGCATTGGGAATTTTATGACGTAACTCCTCCATAGTTTCCATTAATTCAAATGGGCCTACTCTAGTTGTGATTTGTTATTCTAAAGTAAGTCACAGTTGGAGTAGGCCTATTTGAATCAATGGAATTTATGGAGGAGTTGAGTCACCAAATCTCCATTGATTCATTGGGCCTACTCTGGTGCAATCTACTAAGCAACAGGATTTTGACCGCTGTGTGAAGAGCCATGCTATGTAATATATGTCATGATTTTACGGAAGCTTAAGTATTTGATAGGAGATTCAATTATCTTAGAATTTCATCTGGGATAATTCTTTTAAAATATAATGTTTGTGACCTTAGAGAAAAATGTTCAACTAGTTTTCTGCTACAGTGCAGCTGGGTCACTTAGACCGGCATGTCAGATAAGGATGAAGGACATGGAAGGGAACAGACCCCCGCAAAAAAACCTCATGGGAGAAGGGGGGTGGCAATGGAACGGGACCCTTGATGGAAGGATCCTTTCTCTCATTTCACAGAGGCACTTTCATGCACTAGAATTCACAGAAGATCTTTTACTCTGTGTTTTCCCCCCTTAATACTTGTCATGCTTACTTGAGTCTTAGATTTAATTACAACCCAGTCTGTGTGCAAAGGCTCAGAGCAATAAAAATAATTGCAGAATGAACTCTTTAACAGAAACCCTGTTCAGGCATTATAGAATCTTCTGGTTTGAACACAGTTGAAGGAGAGTGCAATAGATTGCCTCCAGTCCTGCCAAGCTGTAATTTGGAATTGTCCTTTGCACTGCCACTGTTAGGGCTCACGGGCGCTGATCATATTACAGTTACAATACAGGTAAAGGTATTCATATATGATATACACACAACCAAAATGTATAAAGCATTGAGCATTGCATAGACGGTGGACTACCTTACTCAATATTTGGTGTGCATATTTTGGTTGATTGAAACTAGCAAATAACATAAAACTAGCAGCATTAACATCACTTGTACTTTTAAGCAGTTATTTAAGCAGAATGTTCCTTAAAATATCTTGATTCATGCTTGTTAGTAACTAGATGCTACAGTAATCTTTCTCACAATAAGGAGTAATTTTTATTCCAAATCATCTGTAGTATCAAAAGAGGGAAATATGTACTTTTCCTGATTGGTTTCATTGTTACAGAAGAAAAATACTCTCATGTATGTACAGTATCTGTAATCTTTTCTGTTCAAAGCACTTTGATACCATACCTTTTCTAAATCTTTTCCGTGCTTCTCTGAATTCTTATGGCAACTCCATAATGCCATACCTTCTACTTCTTTCCTTTTCATTCTCTTAAAGAATTCTCCTTTAGGCTCTGATAAAAAATGGACCTATCTAAATGTTCCAGAAGCAGATGGTGATACTGTAAGTTCTCTTTATTCTTCTGACACATTCATGTTTTCATTTTTTTGTACTTCTGTTCTCATTTCTCTCTAATGGTTAGCTAAACTATTTTTGTAATTTATTCACTGCCTCTTTAAAAACAGTAAGAGTAGCCAACATTTTTCTCTGAAATGCTATCATTTTACCTTTGGAAATGAATAATCGCAGTAAAATTATGGGATTGCCCATACCTCGTTGGGAAGGACCCCAGGAAACACAAGAGGAAGAAATATTAGGCACATGTATGATATTAAATAGGGTATCAAGATTGAAACAAATTCCAATCTTTATTCTGTGGTAACCGATCAGTGTCCAGAAATAAAACATCGCCTGAAATCTTGTTGTACAGTTATTCAAACTGTGTAACTTTTGGAAGCAAATTTATTCAGGTTAAGAAATCTTGATAGACATTAACTGTTGCATATTGAGTTGTGAGGTTCAGTATTGAACAAATACTGCCTACAGAGATTTCTTAACTTACAGCAGTTTGCATCTAAATATTACAGCATTAGCATAACTTTGCAACATAATTTCAGACTATTAAAGAACCAGACATTACTTCAGGACCCAGTCTGTAATATGTAAAACTTATTGGAGAACTGTCAGAAGACTGAAGACGTGCAAAGCTTCATATAAAAAATTGACTGGCTTAGGAAGGGATGAAACTGGGAAAGCATAGAGTAGAGGTATATATTTGTGCTGGTGGACTACAAGTCCCAGAGTTCCCTAGGCAGCAGAGTCAGCGGGAAATTTTGGGAGTCATAGTCCAAAACATGCACACATGTTTGGCCTTACACTGATGGCAAGCTTTTACAGTGGGCCAGTCTATGAGTATATGAAGAACAGTGCATGCATTGTCTACCAGGACCCAGTATGGGTTTGTCAGCAAGAAGTTAATTAGTAGAGCAAATCATAGGAGAGTCATGGATTCTGTTTGTAATGATTGGAGCTAAGTAGTTGACAAAGACTGCCATAATATCCTAGTTGACAAAGTAACAGAATTTGGACTGACTAGAAGGTGGACTCTCTGTGAGGTTGGAGGTTGAACGGCCTTCCTCTGTAGGTGCTGACTGAATGGCTCCATGTTAGTCTGGGGAGGTTTTGAGTGGAGTGCCACAAAATTCTTTCTTGCGGCTGCTGGTACTCACAATTTTTTATAAAGAAATTGGATGGTTGTGTAGACAGGATGATTAAATGAGACAAAAGAAGATTTGGGGGAGACATGTTAGTCGTCCTCAGATATCTGAGAGACCGCAAAGCAGAAAATGGAGCAGATTTATTCTCTTTTGACAGCAGGCTGAGAGCCAGTGTGTGAAAATTATGCAGAATCGGCTTATGGCTGAACATGCTTTTACCCTTCAGGCAAGAGCTGTTCAACAGTGGGTTGAATGGCCTTGGGAAGTAGTGGGCTTTCCTCCCATTTTCATAATTCTGTGACTTTTTCCCCCCTCTGTTTTGAAAGTGCCCATAAAGAACTGTTGCCTATTATAATAGGATAAATATTATTTCAAAACATACAATAGGTAGTCTATTGCAAATAACTGAAGTTAGACACAAGTTTTGTTTTGTTTTTGTTTTAAAACTGGCTTAGCACCTAAATTGTTTTAAAGAACTTCATATAAGGAATATTTCCTCTCCTTCATCTCGTTCCCTGCATTTCTTATCTCCCATCTCCCCCGGCTGTGCTACTCACAAAGGTCCTCAGGAGAGCCTAGGGTCCTCTTCAGCCTTTGAAATGTACTGCACTGCTGTAGAGAGGAGAATGCCCAAAAATGAGTGGTGCTCACCCCATTTTAGGTGATTCTTCCCTCCTGTAGTAGCACCCATTGTCGTATAGCTCATTGTTCTTGACAGCCCTTAATAATCTAGTGTTTTTTTCTGGTACAGGGGTGCATATATACTCAACTGTATTATGGATAGAAAGTACAGTACTGAGTCCTCTAGAGAATATAATGCCCCTTTGCTCATTTTTATTATTCTTAGTCAGATACTTCACTGACAGAGGATGTGAACTGTTACTGTAAAATTAATGATGTTTAGAATATGGCTCTTAAAAGATATGAGTCAGCTTGATGGATGCCTTTCTTTATCTCTTTTTTCAGACTAGCATCAATAGTATGATGAGTGTTTATAGTGAAACTGGGGACTATGGCAACGTGAAGATCAGTGGTGAAATTTGCCTTCAAATTAGCTACAGCTATAAAACCGACACCCTCAATATACTAGTAAAAAAATGCAAGAACTTGGCAATAGCTGATGAAAAGAAACAGAGGACAGATCCGTAAGCAAAGAGGATTCTTTTAAACTTCTTGTTTAAACTTTTCTGGGGGCTGGGTAGTCATGTTAGTAAGTTGCAAACAAAACAGCAAAGAGTCTAGTACCAATTTAAAGGTTATCAAGTTTTATTTGATACATCTTTTGCATCGGATAAAGGTGGTTGCAGGTGATTCCCAAAAGTAAATGACAAATAAGAGTTGTTATCTCTATTATCTGGCAGTTCTATTATATAATCTTGTGACTTCAGTTATTGTTTGCTTGTGAAAGAGCAATTAGGGATACATGAGGCACAGACATTTGTGTAAAATAAATATGGCTAGCTGGCAAAGAGAATATCAAGTAGCTTCCCACAAGCTCTCAATTTTGCTCTTCCTTGCATAGTGTGGAAAACAACAGGAAACTCCCTTCCTTCTCTTTTACACACCTCATATGGAATAAGATGGATGTCTCTTAGTCTCTTCTTGGTTACAAGATGTCTTGGGAGAGAGGAGGAGTCTTTTTTCACTTGTGCAGTGAATTGGCAAATCTTAACAGGAGAAATCTCTCTCAATGCAGTATACGAAAAGCTGTAGTGAAGGTAAAGGAAGACGACAATCCAACTGCAAGGAAACAGGAAACTTCAGTTTTCCACCGTGTGCATGACCCATTTGAGTCATATATTTGTACACTTCTTCTGCTCATCTTCAGAATCCACAAGGAGAAAACCAGAAGTTTCCACTTCCTATTTTATGTTTTCTAAGAATTGTGGTTTCAGTGATGGTTAATGAGACCAGGCCAGGATCAAACCTTGGTTCTCATACATTACCTATAAACAGATCTATTTCAGGGAAATAAACATTCTTGTTGATGCATATTACCCTAGCGCTATATTATGGTGAACCACATCAGATTCTGTTTTCCTTTACATTGAATTCAGCAGCTATGTGGGCACTGAGGCTATGCACATGGCTGCATAATTGTAGTTTTTAATATTTGTTTTTCTCTCCTTATTGCTTCCTGACATCAGGCATATGTGGATTGTGTTGATGCCTCTTCTTTTAACTTCTAAAAGTGCACTATATCTTTAAAAATGAACATAAGTTGTAGCTATAAACGAGGAACGTCAAGTAATTAAAGCCCGATTACTGCAACTATATTGGAAGAGTCAGCTTTACTTTATTTTATTTGTCACATCTCTATCCTGCTTTTTGTCCAATAACCTTAATACATGGCTCACCTCTATTTGACTTTGCCGCCAAACAGTTATGATGGGTAGGTTTGGATGAGAGCCTGTGACTGGCTGAAGGGTCCCCTTTGACTTTAATGGCTGAGTGAGGATTTAAGCTGTGAGTCTTCCATGTCATAGCCCAACATTCTGAGTACTACACCACATTGGCTCTGAGATTTACCACATAGGATGGATTGTTATGTGAATATATTGTTATCGGAAAAGAGCTTGCTCTGCGAAGGAAGCACGAAGGCATGCACAATCATTGATTTTCACAATATCTACGATTACTTGGGAGTTTGCAGCCTAGTCTTCTAAAGGCTGTTCAAGATGTTCCATTGAGATAAACATGAGTCATCCAGACAGGTGCAGAATTAATGTGACTGAATATTCCACTGTATAGATGTAATTTCACATAGAAAATCAGCATGCCAAAGGGGCAACTATGTTACCCTTCATTTTCACATGCTAGTTTTCTGTTTTTCTTAAAACAAACAAACAAACAAAAGAATAATCATGTGTAATCTGAAGTGGTATGGCCTATGCACATCATCATGACTTTGTGCTAAATCTCCCCTTAGTATCATGACTCACAAGCTGTTTGTTTTGTGTGGGAAATTACAACCGTGTCATAAGAATGTCCTCTGTGTTTGCAGTATTGTAGTATAAGCCGTATTCTGTTAATGATTTGCTACCTAATTTACAGCTATGTCAAAACGTATCTCCTGCCGGACAAGTCTCGCCAAAGCAAACGTAAGACGAAAATCAAAAGCAATACCACGAATCCAGAGTTCAATGAAGTGCTGAAGGTGAGAAACAGAGCCATACATCAGACCTCCACATTCCGATTGTGGTCATCTGAAAATTAGATGCATTTGCTAGAATGAAAGGGTTTTCTTTTGTTTGAAACCAAATGTTTTGAGTTAGAACATTGACCTCAAACAAAGCACATATAAAGGAACAATAATTGTTTCTGTTTCTTAACCATTTTGTGTGGAGCTTTCAGGAATCTGTCTGTCTTCCTTTGTATTTTCTAATGGCCACACGGCTCCCCCCTTTTATTCATTTTCTCTTGTGATTGTAAATCCGGTAATGTGATTGTAAACCTTAACACTATCAAAATCTGCCCCAAAATGTTTTTTTTTAATGAAACTGGCAGAAGAATTCCAGACATGTCTAATTTTATTTTGGGTAGCAATGGTGCGGCCACAGTTGGTCCCAGTGGATGACTTAGACTATGAATCTCCAGATCCCACTCTGTTCTACAGTCTTCTGGTATACTGTTATATCTGTGCTCTTTCCATAAATAAAAGCTTTGTGATCTAAAGAAAGGTTGAAAATTTGAAGCTCCAGCAGAAGTTAAGAGGCAGCGCTCATATTACTTTATTTTATTTTATTTTTATATGTTACTTTTCCTTCAGTTTTTAATTATGAGCAAAGGTAAGGAGGTATGGTGATGTTTAAGAACTGGGAAGAGGGTATTTTTAAGAAGACCCATTTGTGATCATAATTGTTTAGTGAGAAAATAGAAGAATGAGGCAGCAGCAAGAAAAATAGTCTTTCAAGAAAACAATTCGGTTTCATAGATCTTGCACTAATAAGAACCTTCACTGATTGATGATGTCTGCTGTGGCTGAGGAGGAAAATGTTTCTTCTCTACTTTTCTGACACCCTCCTGAATAGAAGGCAGTCAGACATTTATTCATAGATTTAGGGCCATGTTCTTCAGTGGAGCTTGAAAGTATTCAAGGAAGAGCACGGGATTGTGAAATGTTCATTTAGAAAACCCTCAAAACATTTATTAGCGTAAACAAATATCTGTGATAGATGTTATTAGAATTTAGGATTTCTCAAAAAAAAGTGATGTTATTTTTGATTTTAAGTAGTTATTCTTTTTTTTCTTTATTTTAACATTGGGTTATGAATTGAACTTTCTGTTGAAACGGTTTTGACTGATGGTAAGGGAAGAGTGGGAAGGCATCAGAGTTTTTGGGGAAAAACAAAAGCAGAAAGGGCCTGTAATGCTGAAGCATTTGGGACCCACTACTCTAAAAGCTTCAAAATAAGCCAGTTATGGGGAAGCAAAGACATATAAACATGTTCGTTTTGGTCTTGTGTCTCTTGATAGTACGTCATCAGCCATACCCAACTTGAGACACGGACCCTGCAGCTTTCTCTTTGGCACTATGACAGATTTGGGCACAACAGTTTTCTTGGAGAAGTGGAGATACCCTTTGATTCCTGGAACTTTGAAAATCATGCGGATGAGTGGTTTATCCTTCAGCCAAAGGTGAGGTTTCACTGGCAAGTAACTGTTCACAAACTGCAGCCTGTTGGAATAACGGGGAAAAAAACCTTCTGCAATATTGGCTCATGCTACGTATATGTGCACCACTGTGCATAGACCTGGCCTCTGAGATAAGACAATGCAGGTGAACGGTGGGTGAGCCATGTCCAGTAAAGGTGCTCCTAGAGTTTTTAAATAAGAAGCCATTGTTGTTAGTGTAAGACTATGAGTTATGTGTAACAAGCTAGAGGTTAGGTTAGGGTCATCCGTGGCTGCTGATAGGATGTCTGTATACCACTTCCAGTATCAAAGGCAGTATGACTCTATCAGTTGCTGGGGAATGTGAAACAGAAGGTGCACTTGCTCTCATGATCTGCTGGCTGGCTGGCTTGCATAGGCTTAGTAGTTGGCCACCATGTGAACAGAAGGTCTCTAGTCTTATCTAGCATGGCTCTGTCTTCTTATATTCAAGAATGATCGCCAAATGTGTGTCACACTGCATAAAGTGGGTTCTGCAGAGGCTCCATATCAGTTTGTTTTTGTTCTGATTTTCAGAACTTAATTTTATGCCGACTTTTGGTTCTAGCAAGCTTGCAAGCCATGGTTGACAACACACACTTTAATCTTCTTTAACTTTTTAACATTCTGCAATTATCAAGCTTGTCATGTATAATTTAGACCTGCCTACCTTTACTCCATGCATGCTGGAAGGGAAGAATATGTGAACTACAGCAAGACACTCTTTTTCTGCATTACTGTTTCAGGTGGAAGTTGTAGCTGACACTGGCCTTCAATACAAAGGTGAGCTGGTTGTTGTCTTACGGTACATCCCTCCTGAGAGGAATCTAACACTGCCGCTAGGAGAGATTCAAGGTAAAATGAACATTGGGAACATCCTGTAATTTCATCTTCTTCATGATAGAAATTCAACATTGTGTGCTACAAATATACAGTATCACATTACAAGATTATGGGAAATTGGAATTGTCTAGTACTCAGTTAGTTACTAGCCTCTAAAGGAATTTGAAACCACAAATAGATTTATTTTTCTGAGTACTGAGGACCCAGAGGTACACCTTCCAGGAACCCATATTATCTGTGTTTCTAAACTAATGTAACAAAGTTTATCTGCTGTCAGTTCCTTGGTGTATTGTTATAATCTGACGTTATCTAAAAAGGCTTGAAATTTTCAGTATACACAAAATATTACAGAAACATGTCAATGGTCTCTATAGAAAGCGGAGAAGCACCTTTGTGTATGTGTATCCAGTTTGGAATCCAGTACTGCTAATATTGATGCAAAAAAGGTCTCCAGTATATACTACTTTCTGTGATTTCTTGCTAGTTGTTTTCCAATATCCTTCTTCCTTCTCTTATCTTCAACCATTATGTAATGGATGCAACTCAGTTCATTGAGGTACTTCTGTACGACTTGGTTTGTGCAGAGACTTTGAGTTGGTCTTTGTCCAGCTTTTTACTGGCAATCCTTTAGAAAGGAATATGAATTGGAACCATTGCACTTATGCAGCCCTCTTTGAGTAGAAGCAAAATTTAGCCACTTGACTACTGTATCCTAAACAATCCCCCTTCATTTGGGAAACTGCATTGTATTTAACTGGGTGTGTTTAGGTGTATAGCCTTTTTGTAAAGAGATGTGCTGTGTTAATACTGTAGGTTTGAGGAAGCTGGAGAAAGGAGCAAAGATTTGTTTTGTTCTAAGAGCCAAAGGACAAATTGTTTGGGTGGAGGAAATCATATTAAATAAGACAGAGGGAGCACATAGTGTGCTAGGCAGATGCCATGCTAACTGCAGAAGCATGAATACCCATCTGGATGAGGAAGGCAGACATGTAAATCAGGGATCAACAACCCCCAGCTGTGGCCTGGTGCTGGTCCATGGCCATGGCAGGACCGGGCCGCAGAGACATCTCTCGCCCCCCCCACATGCATGGCCCACCACCCAGACACACAGACCCCCTTCCCACTGTGAGTGCACCCTTCCCCTCTGTGCATGCACACAATCGTGTCCCTCTGCAAATGCACTCCGCCCCTTTGCGCATGTGCATGAGCGTGCTCTGCCCCTCCGTTAGTGCATCCCGCCCACCTGTGAGTGCAGGGGGCACCCCCACACACAGACTCCACCCACCCAACTGGTCCGCAACTCAGAAACGGTTGGGGACCACTGATGTAAGTGATGGTATATCCTCCATCATTTGACTTAAACATGGATGGTTATATGACCAATTTTGCAATCAGTGTGAGATTGGATGAACTAATGGAGCTTGCCAGAGCACGGAGAGTGCTTATGCAGTTGTCTTCTACTGTGAACGGGACACTGGCATGAAAGTTTCTGTATTGATTTTTGCAGCAGCCAGAGCTTTCTCAAAAGCTGGTATTATTTTTATTCAAGGAAAGAAAAGCTCCAAGAAAATGAAGAAAGCAAATTTACAACCACCATCAGGAGGGATATTAGAAGTTATTGTCAAGGAAGCCAAGAATTTAACAGCTGTGAAGTCTGGAGGCACTTCTGACACATTTGTCAAAGGGTGATTTCTTTTATCTTCTGTTTAGCATTTTAATTTAGTTTTTGCAGAACTCTTGGATTAATATATCTGGACTGTGTATGTCAAGTAAGATAATGTACCTAATTTCATACCATGTCTCATCATTTATTGCTTCACAGGGGCTGACTAACAAAGTAATAAAACACAATTATGTGTGCAACATCATCTAAAGCAGTGGTTCCCAGTCTTGGGTCCCCAAGTGTTCTTAGACTAAAACTTCCAGAAGCCCTCACCACTAGCTGTGCTGGCCAAGATTTCTGGGAGCTGTAGTCCAAGAACATCTGGGGACCCATGGTTTGGATATAAAGTGATAACAAATTGAAAGAGGTTATTCAGCCTCTCTACCTTTCATCTTTATATAATACTTTCACTTCTTCCATAGCTTTTTTTTTGCTTGTAGCATAGTAATATTTTCTCATTAGATATTAGTGGTTCTTTCTTCTTACATATAATTAATGAGATATTCATAACAAACACACAATGTCCTCTTGTTTTTGTCCTGTTCCTCTTTTCCTTTAGGTACTTGCTTCCTGACAACAACAAAGCATCCAAACATAAAACCCCAGTAATAAAGAAGAGTGTGAATCCCAAATGGAACCATACCTTCACGTTTAGTGGCTTGAATACTAGAGATATACATAATGTCTGTGTAGAACTCACTGTCTGGGACAAAGAATCCCTTAGCAGCAATATCTTTCTGGGAGGGGCTCGTTTGAATACTGGAAGTGGTAAGTCATGTAATTTGACCTAACAGCTGTTTATCAAGGGAGGTTGGGCAGCTGTTGAAGCATCAGGGCATGGAGAAATAGAAAAAATACTGTGGTTTGTGTACTATTTTAAAAACCAATCAACATACTGTTGAATGAGAACACTTAAGTCTCTCGACCAAGAACTCTGTTTGAAGCTTTTTAATGAATGGTGGGAAATGCAATCAGACCCTCAGGTGGTCTTGAAGCACTTGAAGGACCTCCCATTTACATGGGAAGCAGCATTTACTTCAGATACACTTGTGCCTTCAGTTTTTCTGGGTTCTTACTTGTTGGTTCTACATGCCTCACTACTTTCAATTACTGTATTTGGACCTGAAAGCCAGACAATTAAGAAAGCTGACAGGAAAATATCAGTTCATTGAAAATGTGGTGTTGGAGGACAGCTGGAAAGAATACTAAATAGGTTCTGGATCACATCAAGCTTGAACTCTCCCTAGAAGTCTCCCCGAAAATGCTTAAAAATGCTAAGGCAAAGCTCACTGGAAAAAGATAATAATGCTAGAGAAGAGGATGACCTAACATGATATGAATTGAGTCAACAAGTATATCCTTTAGAATGTACATATTATAATTTAAAGTCTAGTATTAATTTATGTGACTACACAAAAGCCTTTTACTGTGTGAACCACAGCAAACTATGGTAAGTTCTCAAAGAAATGGGTGATGAGGGTGTTTTTGTTGTGGATGTATTGTTGTGATAAGAGGGAGAAATTATCTGTCACTGTGATTGATGGGTGTCTTTAGCTTGTCTTTTTTGTGCAATGATCCCTGGCCCTTGTGGCTGGTAGAGATCGTTGACCTTTTGCAGACTGTATTTTCCAGTGCTGGGAGCCAGGCCTTATTAAGTTTTAGACTTTCCTCTTTTTTGTTGAAGCTCTGCTGGTGTTTATGGATTTCAATGGCTTCCCTGTGCAGTCTAACATAATGCTTGCTGGTGTTGTCCAGTACTTCAGTATTTTGAAATAGAATTTCATGTCCAGCTTATTTTAGGGTATGTTCAGCTACTGCTGATTTTTCCGGTTGTTGCTAAACATGCTTTCCCTCTTATCACAACAATACATCCACAACAAAAACACCCTCAGCACCATCATCACCCTATCTCCTGAAAGGGACAAAAGCTGTTCCCACAGTTATAAATACTCAACTATCCAACAAACAGCAACAGAGCATGGACTGAGTTCCTACTCCAGTCCTCTGAAGATGCCAGCCACAGAGACTGGCAAAACATCAGGAAGAACAACCTTCAGAACACGGCCAAAGAGCCAAAAAACCCACAACTACCATTTGATAGATTTTACTTTCTTAGGTCCATGATCACTGCAAATGCTGAGAGCAGCCACAAAATTAAAAGATGCCTGCTTCTTTGGAGGAAAGCGATGACAAACCTAGACAGCATCTTAAAAAGCAGAGACATCACTTTGCTGACAAAGGTCCACATAGTCAAACCTATGGTTTTTCTAGTAGCAATGTATGGAAGTGAGAACTGGACCATAAAGGAAACTGACCACCGAATAATTGATGCTTTTGAATTGTGGTGCTGGAGGAGACTCTCAAGAGTCCCCTGGACTACAAAGAGAACAAACCTATCCATTCTGAAGGAAATCAGCTCTGAGTGCTCACTGGAAGGACAGATCCGGAAGCTGAGCCTCCAGTACTTTGGCCATCTCATGAGAAGAGAAGACTCCCTGGAAAAGGCCCTGATGTTGGGAAAGTGTGAAGGCAAGAGGAGAAGGGGACGACAGAGGATGAGATGGCTTGACAGTGTCATTGAAGCAACAAAGATGAATTTGACCAAACTCCAGGAGGCAGTGGAAGACAGGAAAGCCTAGCATGCTCTGGTCCATAGGGTTACGAAGAGTCGGACATGACTTAACAACTAAACAACAACAATTATGTTATGGTTGTATGCACTTTGGCATTATTTCCTATCTGGAAGTAGTGCGAGTGTGATCTGCTAACAAAATTGATTCTGACTTATGGCGGTTCTAGTAAGGTTTCTGAAGTGTGTTGATCAATTTTAAGATGAGGTTTTACCAGTGCACCAGCCAAGTGAGTTTCCATGGCCGAGTGGGGATTTAGGGAACACAATCCACTAAACTGCACTGGCCCTCATCTGGAAATTATCCTCAAAAAGTACTCGAAGTACATGTAGTTATAGAAAGCAAACTGCAGCTTATTAAATGTACAGGTACATCAGTTCAGAATAATATCCGAAAAGACAAATAACATTTTCAGAATATTGCAGTTCCTTACTGTTATTCATATATGACCATGATGTGTTAACAATTGATTCATTTCTCAATAAATTATTTACACAGTTCATTCAAATTACTTCCATTTATAGATTCAAGTGAAAACAGATATGATGCATAATTATTATACAGTCACTTCTTAATTATTTTCAGTTACAGGTAACAGTGATAACATAATACTGCATCTTTTATGCTAATGCTCTTAACACAGCTTATCTCTTGGATATAACATTTAACTGCTTTATTATCAATATCATAGCTTACCTCTTAAACTATTTAACCTCACTACTTGTTGTTATGTGCCATCAAGTTAGAACTAACTTATTATTCTTTATTAGTTTTATTTATGAACTAACTGATATTGGCCCTAATGTTGCTTTCATGTTAAGGTGTGTTTTACCAGTTCCATACTCCCAGTCAGTCTCCAGGGCTAAGCAGAGATTCAAACCCAGTTCTTCTGTGTCCTACTCTGTCACTCTGGCTACTGCATGACACTGGCTATTAACCACATTACTACCAATATTTCATTCCAAAAATTCCAATAATTCCAAAGATTCTACTTCACAGAAATTGTGAAACCCACAAACTCCAGATTGCAACTCTTTAACATGAAGACATAAATTGCCCCACTTATATAATTTAAATGTTGAAGTTGTACAGTATAACCATCCTATGGCAGGCATCTGATCAATCTCCTGTTTCAGATTACGTTTCCTTCAGGAGCCTTAGCTTTAGCATCCAATGGGTTGTATGAATTTGATTCATTGCTTAATATTATATAGTCTGATTTTAGTTATTCCAGGGAAAATAACAAGAAATTGTACCATTCCCCAATCTTACCAATTAGGTGTCCTCTCAACTTGGTTATATGAAAAATGGCCAGACTCTCCCTACTACAGTTCTCTCTTTGATGCCCTTGTATCTTCCCCTTCCACCAAATTGGCTGCATTCTTTGAGCTATGCTCACATCGTGCATCAGTCTTGTCATTATAGATGGCAAGGGATGATTTAGATTATAACAGTATAATCTGTTGGGGACTACTGCATGCCCATTGTGGGATGGTTATACAAGTGATATAATTAACATCTTCATGTTAAAGAGTCTTTACCTGGAGTTTATGGGTTTTAACATTTCTGAAATGCAAAATATGAATCTGGGTTTTTTAAATAAAATATTCATAGTTGTATAGTTAAATAGTTATGTTCAAGAGGTAAGCAATGATATTGATAGTGGTTAAATGTTATGTGCAAGAGATACACTGTATATATTTTAATGCAGTTTATGTTCTCACTGTGATCTGTAATTGAAAATAATTGACAATTGTATGTTTGTTCTCACTTGAATCTATATATGAAAGTAATTAGAATTAATTGTTTGAATGAGCTACTGGGAAATGAATGAACTGTGTTTTTATTTTTACTAATGAGAACAATTAATTTTAAAAAATTCATCTAAAACATTAAAACAGCTAGATAGTTCAATGAATTAGGTCTCTGGCTGTGGAGCCAGAGGTTGGAAGTTTGATTCTCCACTGGACCTCGCTGACAAGGACTGAAATTGATGATCCATAGGGTCCCTTCCAGCTCTGTAATTCTAAGATGATGATAATGAAATAAACTAAAAGAAAATGTACTTCCCCCCTCCCCCAGGACTATTAGGGAATCTCCATTACAAAATGTACTGACCGTATTTTGCCTTATCTGAAAGGAAGAACAAAAGTTAAGGAAGGAATAAAGCAGAATTTTAAACAATTGCAGCTTTTACTGGTTGCAGAAAACACAACTGATTTTTGATATTCCCCCCTCCCCATTCCCAGGTTTAAGCAATGGCAAAGAAGTAGACTGGATGGATTCTCAAGGAGAAGAGCAACGCCTTTGGCAAAGAATGATTGACTGTCCTGGAGATTCTGTGGAAGGTGTTTTAATGCTGAGATCCAGCATGGGAAAACATAGACTCTAAGAGAAAGATGGTTTGCACACAGCATTCTACTTCTGTCATCACAATATAGTGTGATGTAAGCTGGCCTACAGTGCAGCACCTTGTGTTATTATTTGCACATGTAAAATAGGGAAGAGAAAGACTTTTCTTCAGTGTGGACTTTAAATTTCTTAAATAGATTATAAATGCATTTCGCACTTTCCTACATCTGCATTCTCATCATTGTCCTCCTTTGCCCAGCAGAAGTCGGCAAAGCCATTCATAAGACTGAGTTAACAGCTGGAATAAGACCTGTTGAAATCCTCTAGTTCAAGCAGCAACTTTCAGTTGTGATTATTTTAGTATGCTTTTGCAGAGGAAAAAAAACATTATTTGTAAATGGGTTAAAATGTCTGAGCTGTTCCATATAAGTCCATTTCTTGTAAACCTGACATTTGAAATGAGCTAAGGGCGTGAGAGTCAAGTTACGGGCAAGCTTCAAGGATAACTATTTTCTCCTCCCACCTCTGGATGCTCATTTCCAGGAATGGTTCCCAGTTGTGGTAACTTGCTAACAACCAGTCCAACAACCTCCAGTTACCCAAACCTTTTGTGAGCGGGTATAGAGACTGACAGAGAGTGCTGACATATACATTGCAAGAATCCATAACTCATCAGCAGTACATTGTCTCCATTTCAGGACTTCCTGTAAAAACTTGGAACAGAAGATACCAAACAAATTAACAAAGGAACAGTCATCATTATGTTATATTGTCTTATTGTGAACATAGGTTTAATTGGTTGTTGTGGGTTTTTCGGGCTCCTTGGCCGTGTTCTGAAGGTTGTTCTTCCTAACGTTTCGCCAGTCTCTGTGGCCGGCATCTTCAGAGGGCAGCACTCTGAAGATGCCAGCCACAGAGACTGGCAAAACGTTAGGAAGAACAACCTTCAGAACATGGCCAAGGAGCCCAAAGAACCCACAACAACCATTAGATCCCGGCCATGAAAGCCTTCGCGAATACATAAGTTTAATTCTTTCTCAAATTACATGACATGGTTGAAGAGGAAAGGAGAATTCATGTTTGCCTGCAAGATATCAAGCATAATCTAATCTCTGCCCTCAGATTGGCTCACTTTGTGCCTGTCCAACTTTTTGTGAGCACCTTGAAAGGAGGAAATTCTACCACCTCATTGGATAACTGAACTATACTGTTTGAATGTGTAACCCAAATCTACCTTCCTGTTTAAGAAATTGTGGGTGGTATGAACAGACTCCCCTCTTCCCCATATCCCTTTGAAGTACGCTAATAGTGCCACTGTGTCTCACCAGCCTCATCCCCTTCCTTAAAGTTGTACCTGTTGAGTTCCTTCAGTCCTTTGTTGTAGGAAGTCTCTTCTATATGGTCTTTGACCTAAGCTTGAGGTATGATTAACTCTGAATTCTGCCCTGTGTAAGTTGAGTTTTTCATATCAGTATACTGAAGATTTAAAAGCCTTACATTTCATAGCACTGCATATATAGGGGACACCTAATTTTAAATTATTTAAAACTAAAATACACCAGGTGTTCCAAATTTCATTTGTAGACTCCATTTGAGAAGAGGTTTCTTAGTGGAGGAACTGATTCAGTAAGTGGATTAGTCAGAACACTGGCTGAAAAACAGAACATCAGTAACTTGGGACTACTTCAGTGTTCAGAATTAATTTATTCCATTTATATCCTGCACTTCATGGCCTTGATATTTTGTGAGAATTGGTACTGTGAAATAACCAGCGGCTCCCAAGAGGCTGAGTGGATGAGTGAGGCCGCTGTCAGGCTGTGGGTGATCTGTGGATGTAAATGTGCACAGCACCAACCTGTATTGTGGAACTTGTTTTTTAATTGAGACATTTTGTTGTATCTTTTAATCAAGTATGCCAGACAAATGAAGGAAATTGGCTGCATATCTTAACTTTTTCTTCTCAAGTTATTTCAGCTACTTCAGGTGACTGAATCATAATGTTTTGATTGATTTCTAGTTGTTTCATGTACTGTTCAATAATCTTTAGGTTAAAAAGCAGTGTATACATTTATATACAGTCTGAACAATTACGCGGAAGATTGTTTTTATAATTTTACTTAAGTATTAAACGATGATGCCTACAGACCAGAAAGTAACAAGGAGGTACTATGAGAGCTTATATAATGTTCTTCTACATTTCTTTCTACAGTTTGCTGGATAAAGTAATCACAGAAATGTCACAATATTGACAATTTTACTTACTTATGCAAATATATTTCTAACCGTTTTATTACAGTGTTTTTCTGCCCCTTTTATGTTACATAAATGTATGTTATATTTAAAAGCCTAACATCAGATGAGACTGATTTTCAGTGCACTGTGTGCCTACTTAGTCCAATACAATTGGTTGTGAATTTTTAAATTAGTAATGCCTCTGAGGTACACTGAGGTTTTGTTTTAGTAGTGATGGAATTTTCAAAAGGTGATGGCTGCAGTCCTGCATCTGTTGAAGCCCTACTGAATTCAGTGGCATTTAGTGCTCCGTAGATACATTATTAGATTGCACTGAAAACTGCTGAAGCATATCTCTGCTCCTGTTATTTGCACTTTTAAGATTTTTAACAGAGATGGGGGTGCCAAGGCCATTAGAAGCCTAGGAATATAGAGCCTCCAAATTCCATAGAATAAAGTAGATTCTAAGTTTGGAATGGACAAAGTGTGGCCTGCTAGATTTTGGACTGGAACTCCTTTTGGCTTTTGCCAGCATACCCAGCAGTGAGGAATCATGGAAGTAGCAGTCCAAAACATGCAGGGCTGCATTTTCTTACTCCTGTGCTACGGTAATTTTTATAAATGTATCATATGACACTCTGAAGCCTGTACCAACTGCTCTTGGATTTGTTGTCTTTTGATTACCCTGTTTCCCTGAAAATAAGACCTAACCTGAAAACAAGCCCTAGTATGATTTTTCAGGATGCTCGTAATATAAGCCCTACCTCAAAAATAAGCCCTAGTTAAGTGAAACCCTGCCCTCCACCATTGTGCAGCATCCAGAAGAAGGTGACATGACTGTATTTGAATAAACATTTTCATTGTACATGAAAAAAAAACTATCCCCTGAAAATAAGCCCTAATGTGTTTTTTTTTGTTTGTTTGTTTGGAGCAAAAATTAATATAAGACCCTCTCTTATTTTCGGGGAAACACGGTAGCACATGTATTGTATACTCTTAACACAGCCATTCTCAGTAGGGTCATATGGCCCCCTGGGGGATCCTGGCACAGACTGGAAATGATGCTTCACACATCACATTATAAGGTTCATTTTGCAACTTATACAATCCTGATTCAGCCTATCTTTCTTTCATGTTGTGTTTACAGTTGTGGGCAATACAGAGCAACAGCCTGATCCCACAGATAATGCAAGGAAAGAAATTCTCAGTTTGTAAAAAGACACTGGTGTTGTTTCCCTCATTCTTATGTGAAGGGGTGGACTAGCACAATTCAGTCGCTGCAATAATTATATGAAATACATGCACTATCTGTTGCCCTGCAGAATATGATTCAGCTCAGTCTTAAGATGGGATGCCCAGTGTGGTGTCGTGGATAGAGTGTGTTGCCTGAGATTCAGGAGGCTTGGGTTTGAATCTCTGCTCAGCCATAGCACCTCACTGGGGATGTGGAAATGGTAAAACCAGTCCTTAAATATCTCACCTTAAAACCCCTATTAAGATAACTATTAGAGATGGGAATTTGTATACTGTATAAATACTGTACAAATATCCCCGCACAGCTGGGGTTAACAAGGGTCCAGCCCCTGGGCACGGACCATCCATTCATGTGTCTGGCGGTGGAGGCAACAGCCTCACTCATCCTTCCAATCACTCCCAGAATACTGCTCTCTTCCTACTCAGCTAGCAACTCAGCAGCCATGCAGGCGTGACTCATCCTCCCTTCCCTTTCCTGAACTGGCTAGCCAAGCAGGAAGAGAGCAGGGCTCAGGGAGTGATTGGAAGGATGAGTGAAGCCGCTGTCAGAAGCTGTCTGGCGGTGGAGGCAACAGCCTCACTCATCCTTCCAATCACTCCCAGAATACTGCTCTCTTCCTACTCAGCTAGCAACTCAGCAGCCATGCAGGCGTGACTCATCCTCCCTTCCCTTTCCTGAACTGGCTAGCCAAGCAGGAAGAGAGCAGGGCTCAGGGAGTGATTGGAAGGATGAGTGAGGCCGCTGTCAGAAGCATGAGTGGATGGGCTGGCCCCAGGAGCCAGACCCTCATTAAGTAAGTCCAGCTGTGCAGGGATGCAAATACCCCTATCTTTAATCACTATATGTTCTGAGTTGACAGCACCTAACAGTCTTAAGATGACTTGGGCAATACACTAAAGACATCCATGTTTGATTTATGCTATCAACAAATAATGTGTGTGTGTGCCAAGGATGATCAGAGATCATTCCAATGTATAATTCTTCTTCTGAGTGCATCATTTGGAACACTAATGCTGGATATAAACACTTTTTTGAAGAAACTGCATCTAATTACATTCTGCCAAAAATCAGGATATTTTTTCTTTCTACACAGGACTGCTCTATAATTGTACTTTTGCTGGTATATGTACATTCAGATGTGTGGCTTGGTGGGAAAAAGTCTCAGCTTATTTATCTTCATTTGTGTATAATTAAAATCTTTTGTCATTTTAATTGTTGTGCAAGAATTTTTCAGCAGGTAAACATCTAGGATACTGAGTTCTAAATACAATAAAAGACTCATACTTTACACATGCAGGCAAAAGAGGTGTAGATGTGGCCCTCTAAATGTATAGAACTACAACTCCCATCATCCTTCACTATTGTCAGAACTACTCAGAGTTGCAATCCAACATTGTTTGGCAACATTTCACATGTACTGTAAGGTAAAATGCCTAAGAACAGGTAAAACTATCTGAGGGGTCATTGGGTGTATGACTTTTGCTTTGTTCTCTGACCTGTATGAGCCTTTGCATCCCACCATTGGTACAGCTAGACAAAAGAAGCTAGTTTTCCAAGTGGGTAGTAGTAATTAAAAGTTTTGTGTGATAAAGAAACAACAAAAAATCATTTGAAACTAGGATAGTGTCCTACCACATTGGTCCCAATAGTGCAGAGGTCATCAACCCCTGGTCTGCGGCCCGGTGCCGGTCCATGGCTTGAGCTGGACCGGGCCGTGAAGACAGAACTTCCCACCGCTGCTTTGCACACATGCCAGTGCCGGCGTGAGCATTCCCCACACCTTCATGCACGTGCCCGCGCGAAGGGGTGGGTGTACGTGTAGGCACCCCTGCACGAAGGGGTGGGGGAGCGCTCACACCAGCGTTGGCAGGTGCTCTCCTACCGCTTCGCACATGTGCCTGAGAGTGTGCGCACATCCATGTGCACTGCAGGGGGCCTCTGCCTTCCTTGGAGGCTTAGCTGGTCCATGGTCCCAAAAAGGTTGGGGACCGCTGCAATAGTGTATGACACTACTTCATATCCAAATTATTCAGACTAAAACAAAAAAATTGCAAAACAATATTTTATTAATAAAAGATCTGAAAAAAGTAAAGAAAACATTTACACAGGAAGTAATGCCAAAAGTTATTCTGAAGAGTGACTCCAAGCAATTCAATACTTCCACAAAATTTTCCATAGAAGAGAATAAATCTCTGAAAATAAAGGACCATAAGCCAAATTAAAAGTAGTTTCACAACAAATAGGGCTAAACACATACATATTTCCCCTCAAAATTATCTGTACAGCAGTGATTTCCATACTTCTATGCTCCGTGTAGCACCAGGAACAATTTAGGCAGCAAAAGTACTGGCATATAAATGGCCATACTCCAAAATTAGGGACAGGCTTGACCAGATTCTGCTTGTAATTTAATATCTTCTTTTCTCAAAGGGAAAGTGTCAATGAGAGTAAAGAGCTCAGCAGGGGTAGCTGGGAAAGGATAGCGTTCTTTGTCCACACCATGTTTATCAACCACCACAATATTGAAGTTATAGTGAGGGATGCGAAGCAACAACCTGAGGTGGAGAAGGAAAAAAAAAGATTTGTTTGTTTTTTAAGAAGCAGCTATCGCATGCGTGTGCATGCCTACCATCCACTGTAATTTAATTCTCTTTCAACAATGTATATCATCAATAGGATGATAGGAATGTTATCCTTTTTAGATCTTAAATAAAGACAAAGAAAAGCTGTGCCATTACAAAGGTCATTTGGAGTGCAGTATTGATCACCCATTTCCCTTTGTTGCTTTACCAGTCCCAAATCTGAATTGTCAACTGCTGGGCTGCATCCATCACATGTTAACAAATGATTAGAAATCACACGGAAAATAATGTTGTCCACTGTTTGCTTGTATACAGAAAGCCTGATGGGGTTTCCCCTGTGTTGTACAAATTGTATCTGATAGGTTCCCATGTCAAGAGAATTACCCATTCAGCTGCCTTCTTGCTGTCACATTGCTCCACTTTTACAGAAACCACTAAACAAAACATAGGGCTTTGTTTCCTGGTGTAATATCCAAGCCCAATAGCAGCCAGCTCTGTTATTTTATCTCTCCAGAAACTGAGAATAGCTTGTGGATTATTTCTTTGGCTCACCAGTGGAGAGAGAACCTGGAGAGAGGGTTGCTGTTTGGTTTGGATGTCATACTAAACCAACAGTGAATCAAAGTCCAGGTTTTGTTTAGCAACTCCTGCTATAAACTGGAAGCAATAAGAAGTGGGAATCAGCACATTAGCTTTTCCACTATAAGACCGGTTTCTCATACCTCCTTAGCTTTTTGCGATACCCAAATACCCCTTCTGTTTCAGCACACTGCCCTGTTCCTTCCCCAACTACCCTTTACAGTCAGGATAGCAGGATAGCATGGATACAGTGTTACTGTTGGAATCTATGCCCAACCACCAGAGAAAAGGTGACAGCTTCACACTTTCTCTAGAAGCAATCTGAATTTGCTATGAGTCACCTGAGCTGACAGTAGGTCCTCTGAAGTAGGGTTGACTCCAAACTACTCCCAGTCTGATGGAAATGACTTTGGACTACCCTAACCATGGTCTTTGTACTAACAATGGGGATTTGTCTCTTGGGCAGAGGAGCTTCGAAATGATTTAACTTACTTACTTACTTACTTACTTACTTACTTACTTACTTACTTACTTACTTACTTACTTACTTACTTACTTACTTACTTACTTACTTACTTACTTACTTACTTACTTACTTACTTACTTACTTACTTACTTACTTACTTACTTACTTACTTACTTACTTACTTACTTACTTACTTACTTACTTACTTACTTACTTACTTACTTACTTACTTACTTACTTACTTACTTACTTACTTACTTACTTACTTACTTACTTACTTACTTACTTACTTACTTACTTACTTACTTACTTACTTACTATTGACTGGAGGGAAGGCCTGGATGTACAACCATGTTTTTAATTGGGTTTTAAAGATTCCCAGTGTAGGGGCCGCACAAATCTCTGAAGGGAGGTTGTTCCAGAGGCAAGGAGCCGTCACCGAGAAGGCCTGGTTTCGTGTCTTTTCCTTCCGGGCCTCTCTCGGCGTCAGGCTCCTCAGCCGCACCTCCTGGCTCACACGGGTGATCTGGGTAGATCTGGTGGGAGCAGGCGTTCCGCCAAATATCGAGGTCCTAAACCGTTTAGGGCCTTACAAGTGAGCATTAAAACTTTAAAGTCGATGCGGAAACGAATGGGTAGGCAGTGCAGCATGGCCAGCATAGGAGAAATATGCTGGTATTTTCTCATTCCACTAAGGAGTCTGGCCACCGCATTTTGCACCACTTGAAGTTTCCACATCAGCCTTAAAGGCAGCCCCACGTAGAGCATGTTACAGTGGTCTAATCTTGAGATTACCAGCGCATGCACCAAGGTAGTGATCACCCCTGTGTCGAGATAGGGCCACAGCCGGGCGATCCGCCATAGGTGGAAAAAGGTGGTGTGGACTACCACCACCACCTGTGTTTCCATGGTGAACATTGGGTCCAGATGTACCCCCAGGCTGCGGATCCCACTCTTCGAGTCCAGGGTCACCCCCCAAACGTGAGTCACCCAAGCCGCCAACCGCGGCTTGGCTCCTCATCTCTTCACCTTTTTTCTTTTTTGTCTCTGTTGCTGGGAAATATCAGCCAGTGAAGCAGTTCTAGTGTGAGATTTCTCTGTTGGCTGTACCCCCAGGCTGCGGATCCCACTCTTCGAGTCCAGGGTCACCCCCCAAACGTGAGTGAGACACCCAAGCCGCCAGCCACGGCTTGGCTCCTCATCTCTTCACGTTTTTTCTTTTTTGTCTCTGCTGCTGGGAAATTTCAGCCAGTGAAGCAGTTCTGCTGTGAGATTTCTCTGTTGGCCTGTAACTCATCCAAACCCCACCTCCACAACTGGCTTATCTATGAGCTACGATGACACTGCTCCTCTAATACCTATCTAGCAGAGCTGTGAGGGGAAAAACTGTGTCACTGAAAAGTAGTTACAACACCTATTGTCCACTGCTGGGAGTAATTAGTTTCCTTTGTACTGGATAAGAATAGGGAATGTATTATACATTGAGGTGAGTATGCCAATAACAGACTTGCACCAGCACTGGAAGGAGGAGGGCAATCATTTTACCTGGTACATCCTGTCAAGATTGTAAAAAGGAGACTCACGTGTGGGGGCAGAATTTCTTTCTGGGATTATTATTGGAGACAATTTACCTGACTTGCAAAGCCAAAGCAGGAGGCATCAATCTCAGTCCTATTCTTCCCAGCAGAGATGGGTAAACTCCAACCAGCTCAATCACTGTAATATGTCGTAGATCTAACCCGCACTGTGCTGGCTAAAACAGGCAAGAACAGAAATGGAAGGAAAACAATAAGTGGAACAATCATCACAAAGCAAGATAAAACAAACATCTGTCTTATGTAACATGTGCTCATCATCTTCACAGACCCTTATCTAGCCTGACTGGGAGGGCCTGTGAGAAATAAGTGCATGGGATGCAGACAGAACTAACAGAGCTGATCCAACTGCTCACTCCCTCAGTTTTTTAAAATATTTAAAGACTAAAGAAAATGCTACTCATTTTTGAAACAATATCATTAAATGACACCTTCTCTATGAACCAGCTGCATTTTGTGGTGAGAAGGTTAATACAAAATATGTACAGAGTAAATATCTATTTCTTAATACACACACCAAGTAGGCCACAGTGAGGGCTTCATGTACTCTAAATCTGTATCATACAAGTGCAAAATTTAGTACTGTATTAAGTTAATGTGTTTTTGTTTTCGTCAGTGTTTGATTCTGAGGTTTTTAAAAGCTTTGAAGCACATCAATAGGTGCCACAGTAACTTTCTTTTCTCAATTATTACAAGTACCAAATTGGAAGGAAACCTGAACAGCAAGGGCAAAATAACTTCAAGCCACCTCTGGGTCAAAAGTGAAGGCTCAGTTGTTACTTCTATAGTTGTCAGGACCATTAAATCTCACTTCAGAGAAAGCAGATATGTACAGCATTCAACCCAGACCACTAGTACCTCTGGCTGAGTTAGGACAATGTTGATTATCCACAGGCTTGGATCCACAGACTCTGAGAGCCAAATTATGTTTACAAGACACTCCTGCTGGAGGTGGCAGCAGGTGACTGTTGCTTATTATGCCTACAGGTCTCCCTCCACTCTGGAAGAATGGAACAATGAAAGAGACATGACCCCAGGGAAATGACATGAGGTGGGAGTGGACTGGAAATGCCAGGAGCCTCTGCAGAATTTTTATTGCTTCAGCAACCCATAAATGCTACAAAAAATCCGACCACCATAACTTTGATTAAAATGAAGCGATAAAGATTCCATCAATAACACTGCTCATATGCACAAATATTAAACAGAACGACTGATTTAAAGGGGCTATGCCTCACCTGCAGCATTCCCAACTGCAATCTGTAAAAATAATTAGCTGCAGTAGGCGTGGATATGATGAGCAGTCTCCGTTTCTCATAAAACTGGTCCAGGAGGGCTGCTGCCGTCCTTACACCAACATTAATATTCATGGCTGAAATTACAAGCAAACAAGACTACAATAAACATATTTAATATCTTTTAAATTTACAGCTACCAGAAATTATGTTGATCAATTTAGACATAGTAATCCAAGGGACAGCCAGCAGAAGTGAGAAACCATGAGAATCAGTATTCTTGAGCTGATCCCACCTCCTGTTTGCTCCAGATCCCCAGATTCTTTTCTCCTCTTTGAAAAATACAGTTGAGAAAGATCTGGAAGCCTCATATATATAGATAAATGTCTTGCAGGCAGGATATGGGCAAGATTGGGCTGCAGTCCCCTAAAGTTAATATCAGATGGGGCTTTTATTTAATTTAAGGTTCTCTTGGTTGTTTTTGCTGGAACAAGCTAACACAGTTGGAAAAAAATGTGCTGCATTCACATTTTGTAACAAATTCCTTTTTCTTCCTTATGCTAATGATCTGCACATACTCATGTGTTAGCAGAAGAATGTAGGTGGTTGCTTGATAATCAGTTTCTATGAAGAATGAACAAACAATCAATAGAAAGAATAGGCAAGGTGTAAAGAAATCCCAAAAGTTACAGTAAAAAAAATCCATACATGACTAGTGTAGTCCAGACAACCATTTATCACATCTGTTCAAAGAATGCCATTTATTGTATTTCTGAACAGAGCTGCCACACTGTCATTTGCCCTGTAGGGTTACTCAGCAAGCATACTTTCATGCTTGCAAAAGAGTACAAAAATCTATTTCAGTGGGAAACAGCAAACTGGTATTTGAAAGAGAACACAAGAATCTCATGGCAGTTGTGGAATCTCCCATGAAAGTGCATCGGCACTACTAAATCCCTATACAAGGAATGAAAAATATCTAGATGCGATGTCTTTGGTCCTTTTAAGGAGGAAAGCAAGGTAAAAATATTTTAAATAAATACACAAACACTGCATATCTGGTTGACTTGTATTTTTGTTCATAATCAATAGACACCAAACCTTTGCAACATATACTCAACTTATTGTTCATTAACAAAATGTCACCTGCTTAATCCTGCCCATAAATGTCATCAGCCACAACATTAATTCATTAACTCATGTAATTATTAATTACTCACGTACGTGTACAGGTTGGCTCTGTTCCTGACCAGCCCGAGTTGAACTGGCAAACTCTTGCCGGACTTCCTTGCATGTCGTACCCACCAATGCAGGAAAATTCACAGGTTGCGCCATAATTATCACCATCACCAGAACATTTTATGTAGCCATTATCTGGAGCATTTAGTTTACCACAGCGCCTGACTTCAGACACAGAATGAGAAGAGCATTCAGTAATCCCATTGTTGCTTCTAACACAGAAAAGTGAACAGAAAATGCAGGCAACATTGAATTGTATATTAGTTGTCATCAAAGATCTCTGCATCCTTTCATTCCTAATTGGTTAATTATATACAGGGCAGGACCCAATGGTAGAATCCAGAGGAACTGGGAGAGGACAAACTTATCATCGCAATGCCCAAGCACCCTCAAAAGGAAGGCAGTGTGCAGTTCTCAAATATTAATTGATTTAAGGCCCAATAAATGAACATCAAGCCTGGTTTTATGCTTCGTTAGTATGGTGCAATTTAAACCAGTCACAATCAACCTTGGCACAGAAACTCCACAGGTGACCTCTGTGTTTGCCTCTTGCAACAACAGTGGTCCCCTGAGAACCACACAGTGGCACAAGCACTCGGCTTGCTGGTGCTGCCTTCCACTTCCATGTTTTTTCAAAGTATGGAGTTTGCGTAGCAAGTGGGAGAAGGTAGACTGCTTTGTTCCATTATCCAAGTAAAGGGTATCACTTCATGGCATAAGACACTGTGTGTATTGTTATAATTAAAGGAAATAAGAAGAGTTCAGCAAAAGCCAGTACTCATATCCATTTGTGCAGCACTTCCTGACTGAGAAATTTTACCAACACATTCTATTTTGTAAATCAAAGTCACTGCAAAAAACAAAAACAAAAAAAACCCACAGTTTTCCCAGAAACAAAAACATAGCTTCTTTGCTGGAGACATATTGGTAAAAGCAAGACTGATGTGGTTAGATATATTACTCCTCCTCACAGGCACTTCTTTCCCTTCTGCCTTCAGATACAGAGCTGTTTTTCAACATATTCTCTAGGTATCTATTGCTTGGAAAATATGGATGATTGTCAAGTGTTGTTATGAAACCTCTGCCTTGGGCATGGAGGCAATTGACGGGTTTATCCATCCACATGAGTGAACTGGCCCTTGAAATGACTGCAGATGTGTACAGTGAGAAGTGCCTTTGTCTTCACATTTCGGATCTTGGATTTTGCTGATTCAGAGGATGGAGGTCTTTCCTCTTCTCATCTAAATCAGGAACCTTCCTTTTCTTTGGTGAAACACAAACTTAATTGTTGCCACTGCACATGCTTTTGAATCTGGATGTTGCAAATGTTTCAAACATAAGGGGAGAACTTATAGTATAAGGAGCCTGAGGGAATAATTGACAATATTTGGTGTTCCATTCGTCTTGATGTAGAGCAGTAACTGAGCAAATACAGAAAGGTAGGGGTGTTAAACTTGATTTAACATATTTTTTCAATCCAAACAATACAGCCAATCAGATGCCTTAATAAATACCATTTCACTTCATTCCTTAGGGTTCAAGTAAATTCCCAGTAAGCATCATTCTGGAAAGAAAAGATCCACACTGCACACCATTGAGAATGATTTAAAATTGAGTGCTTTGTAACAAGTATCTGTACCTTTAGGCTTCTCTCAAAATCTGGATTCACTTCTGAGCATAAAAGAACATCAGCCTTGCAGAAAAATGGTTAAGTCTTCTTTCTCAATACAGATGGCTGGAAGCGTACCATGTTGCATGTGGCAGAAGCACTCCAAATTCATATACATTCATTGGGATTAACAATCCAATACTTTCCATCTGCACAGACATGTACTCGAGTGTGCACAAGCTAATCTGAAAGACACATTTCTTCTAGGCATTTAGATTACGTTGTGCCATCAAGCAATTGCTATACGGAGAACTTGTTGAAAAACAGCCCTGGCAATTGCTTTGTGTTTAGCTGCGACGTGGTTAACTGATGAAAAAAGGACTCAGCTTCTGGTATTCTCCCTTGCTTGGTGCATCTTTATAAATGGTAGCGAACACAAGAAGGTATCCAGTAGACCAGTGGTTCTAACGGCAGCTGGTGGTGAAGTCTTCTGGAAACTCCAGTCCAAGAACATCTGGATTACCCGAGGTTGGGAACCACTGCTGTAGACCATATTGACTGCTGATGATGAAATTGGAGTCATCAACATTCACACTGTCTTTTGCTGTGAAAAGTTTGACATCCTTTTTCCTGCTGGCAACATGGGTATGATATTGTGCAGCAATATAAAGCCATTTTCTGATGTACTGAATATCCCACATCCATAAATCAGAGGTTTCTTGAAGAACTGAATAATCTAAGGCTGTGTATGCAACGTTATCTAAAATAGCCTGAGTGTCACAACTCCCACTGTCTTGACCTTCAGATAATATGCAAATAGTTGTGCATCTTTTAAGACAGCAAATATTCTTACCTTTGACTTTAATCAAAAATTTGCAAGTTCCCTTATTCCCAGCTCTGTCAAACACAGTGTACTGGATTTTGTGGTCTCCTTCTGAAAAATGTGACCCTGGTGGTAGTCCTTTCAAAATAACACTACAAATAATAAGAATAAAGATAGTTTAAATATTTGGTGGTATGTGCAGAGGTAGGGTGTTGGGGGCAACAAAAGGCTAGAGAGTTAATTCCCATACTGCAGCTTAGATCCCAGTGTTTTTGAAAATCATCCACTGACAGCAATATGAAGACTGGATTTATAAGTCTTTTAGAAGCACTTGGTCTAAGCTGTGTCTATTATATAATCAAATCCGTAGAATACAAAATGTTTGTGCACCCAGGTTTATTTTGCTTCCAATCAAGGACACAGCAAGAACTAATTGAATGCAGACATTCTGATGCACACTTACTGTGTTTGTGTTATATGCTCTCAAATCACATGTGACTCATAGCAACCCCAGTAGTGTTCAAGATAAGTGAGCTATTTTAATAAGGGGTTTTATCATTGTTGTCCTTACTGTGAGTTTCTATGGCCAAAGGGGTATCTGAATCCAGGTCCATCACTATAGCCTCTACTCCAAACTGGGTATGCAAATCATGTGGTTTGCCTACCGGACATAAAGAAGAACCATGCCAGGCTACCTAATCCAGCAGCCTGTACATACTATGGCCAACTAGATGTCTAAGAGGAAGCTCACAGGTAGGATATGACTGCAACGCTAACACTCCCACTAGTACATCGTAATATCAAATATCTTCACTCACTCTGTCAAAATGCCATCAGCAGTGTCTCGTCCCTCTGGGGTTTCCCAGAACACACGGGCTGTCAGTTTATTGGGTTCTGCTGTTTTCTCTTTTATACTTGGGCACTGAATTCTAGGAGGTTCTGTGTCTGCAAACAAAGACAAGCACACAGAAACATGACTGGTATTACTCAAGGCATGCAAACATAGGACATTTTTAGATAATGTGTATCATGTTTGAACAAGTTCATTAGTGCCCAGAATCCTACTGGTGTTCATGTAAGGTTTTCCTAACTTGCCACATATAAATATGACTCACTGATGCCCACCTGCCCAACTGAAATACATCCAGCAATTTGTTAATTCATGATGATTAGCCACAGTAAATTACACAAACCTTACATCAACACTACCAGGATTTTGACCATGGGGTTTCTGTAAGCATATTCACATTTGACTTTATGATAACCTTGAAATCTTTAGTGTGGAACTGTTTGGACATTGATTGTCCCAATAAAGTCAGAGGTTGGAAGTTTGATTCCCCCACTGTGCCTCCTTCACAAGAGCTGGATTTGATGGTCTAGAGCAGGGGTCCCCAACCCTCGGTCTGCGGCCTGGTGCCACTCCGTGGTCTTGCCGGAACTGGGCCACGGAGATGGATCTCTGCCTGCCTGCCCACACAGTGGGTGTGTTGCACTCGCGTAGGGGCGTGTCGTGCTTGCAATATATTTCTTCCTACGTTGATACCACTATTAAATGCAAATTTTTGAAATACTTCTATCAAATATGGTTTTTAAGTACTGTGGTTGTTATATGTAGTCAAGTCACTTCTGACTTATGATGACCTCAAAAAGACCCAATTATTAATAGCCCTCATCAGTTCTTGCAAATGCACAGACGTGGCTACCTTTTGTTTGGTCTTCTTCTTTTCCTGCTGCCTTCAACTTTTCCTAGTATTATAGCATTCTTCAATGACTCTCATCTTTTCATGTGCACAAAATATGGTAGCCTCAGTTTCAGCATCGCTGTTTCTAGGCAGAGTTCAGGGCTGATCTGATTCAGTACTCATTTATTTATCTTTCTGGAAGTCTAGGTTATCCATAAAGCTTGCCTTCAACACCAAATTTCAAATAAATCAATTTTTTTCTGTCAGCTTTCTTCACTATCCAGCATGCACATCCATACATCAAGATGTGTAATTGGGAAGACCGCAGTACAAATTATCTTCACTTTTAGCTTCCAGTGACAAAATGTTACACTTGAGCATCTTTACTTGTTCCTTTACAGTTGCCTTTCCAAATCCCAGTCTTCTTTTTATTTCTTGGCTGCAGTCGCAATATACAGTGGTGCCTCGCATTGCGACGTTAATTCGTTCCACAAAAATTGCTGCAGAACGAAAACGTCGCAATGCGAAATAAAAAAGCCCATAGAAATGCATTAAAAGGCAATTAATGCGTTCCTATGGGCTTAAAACTCACTGTTCAGCGAAGATCCTCCATAGCGCAGCCATTTCTGGTGCCTCTTAAACGAGGAATCCATCCCAGAAAACAGCAGGTGGCCATTTTGTTTACCCGGTGGCCATTTTGAAACTGCCGATCAGCTTTTTTAAAATTGTTGCTTTACGATGCTCGGTTCCCTGCTTCGGGAACCAATCGTCGCAAAGGGAAATTCCCCTATAGGGAACATCGCAAAGCGATCGCAAAAAATGTGTCGTAAAGTGATTTCATCGCTAAATGGAGCACTCGCTAAGCGAGGCACCACTGTATATGGATTAATGATTAAATAGAAGAATAGAAATATAGAAAACATTTAACTCCTTCAATTTCTTAACTCTCAACAATCATCATTATGATGTGCCATCAAGTCAATTCTGACTTGTGGTGACCCTTTTCAGAGTTTTCCAGGTAGAGACTACTAAGAAGTGGTTCACCACTCCCTTCTTCTGGGGGCACCCTGTGACTTGCAGCTTGCCCAAGGCTACACAGGCTGGCTTCTCTCCTAGGATGCACACTGTGGAATCAAACTCCCAAATTCTGGCTCCACAGCCAGATACCTAAATTACTGAGTTATCCAGCCAGCTATAATTATCATGTGCCATCAAGCGAACTCTGAGTTATGGCAACTCTTCTGGTAGAGAATACGCAGAAGTGGCTTAACACTTCCTTCTTCTGGGGTCCCTTGGGACTGTGCAGACTGCCCAAGGCCACACAAGCTAGCTCTATTCACAGGAGGCATAGTGGGGAATCAAATTCCCAATCTCTGGCTCCGCATGCAGATGTCTAAACCATTGAACTAAAGATGTATAAATCATCTGCGGTCATGGTTTGTCTTAATGTTCCACTGCAGCATTGCTTTTCCACTTTCTTATTTCATGTTCATCAGGAGTCATTTCAAGACACTGCTATTTTCTGTCAATAATATGGTTTTATCCACGTATCTTTAATTATTAATTATTGAGATTTCTTCTACCAAATTTCACACCTGCTTCAACTGAGCCTAATCCTGCTTCCTATATAATATATTCTGGGTTCAGGCTTGGACCAAGACAGAGAGATAAAATGCAGTATTGTCTAACAGCTTTGTCTATGGAAAACCATTCTGTTTCTCCTCATTCTGTTCTAAGAGTAACCTTTTCTCCAGACTCGCACAGGTTACACATCATTATTGTCAAACACAGTGGCACAACTATTTATTTTAGAAATATTTTAATGATTGACGCAAATCTTTTCTTTTAATCTATAAAACACAAATTGGTTTTCTCCTAAAATTCTTTGCTGTGCTCTACTAGCTAAGATATATTTGCAATATTTAGGATCTATTCCTCTTCCAATTCCAGCTTGAACATCTGCCATTTCACATTCCATATGTGGTAAAAGTCTTCGTTGCACAACCTTGAGTATCATTTGGTTGTACATGAAATTAATTCAACAGTCCTATAATTATTGTACTCTTTGGCATCATCTTTCTTAGGAGACTAGAACGTATATTCCAGTGTGTTGGCCAGTGTTTTGTTTGCCATACTTGTACTTACGTGACAGTCACTGAAAAGATGCATTTAGAATTCTGACTCCTATTTCTGTCTCCTCTCACTTTTGCTTCTCACCTGTCCTCAACACTTTTAAGAGATTTATCAATCCTTCACCTAGGTTTTTCTTTTGTTTTGATTACAGGAATAATATATTTCCATTCTTCCCTGTTAATATCTTTGGTTTCCACAGGCAGTTCTTCTGATTTGTTACTTTACCACGTTAAGATGTGCATGCAAAAATGAGCTGTAATCACTACACATTACATTTTCAGCACGTGTATGAAACTGCCTTGAGGGCTATGATATGTGATTGCCCTATTCCCATAATTATTATTCTTTAAAAATATTTGCATTGTGACAGGGTCGTCCTATTTAGGACAAATGAATAATCTGATGTGTCTGCCGTAAGGAGGAGCTAGTGATTCTGCAACCTACTGCAGACTTTCTCAATATACATTGTAAAATAGACCCTGAAAATCATAGGTTCTGCCGGGGCAAAGTGACAATCTGTTTATAATGCACATGGAACAGACAAGAGAACAAGCAGTATGTGTACATAAAAACAATTGCCTTTGACCAAATTCCCAGTGTTTAAGGTGTTGTCTAAACACATGTATTCTGAAATTAATGCAGAAAGGACTATGTCTTTGAAACACTCCTTTCATCTGGTGTTGTCACAGATGTATGATTATCAGGTGCTGTCACCAAGGAGCAAAAGACGATAGTTTCCATGGAGTACTATGATTTCTGATACATTAAGACAACAATCTTGTGTTACTATAGAAACTGCATCTCCAGGCACTCACGGATCAGTGAACTGTTCTTGCTGGACCAGAGTGCTTTTAATTGCTTAGAGACCTTCACTAGATAAGCACAGCCCATCTTTCTCTCTGTTAATTTGTAATAATAGAGGAGGGGCGGATTTCTGAAAATTTGTGACAAACTGGAATTTCCTCATCTGAGATTTCTTTTTTGTAGCAATATCATAAAAAAACATAAAATGTGAGCCAGATAAGCAGCAATGATTAAATAAAGACAAGACAAAGAGAGCCAGTTCAGCAAAGCAAATGACAACACTTCAATTTTTCATGAAAATCATAAGGACAGGTATTTATTGCCACTGAATATAAATTGTTGATGACACATTGCTGTAAAATCTGTGCTCAAAATTACTTATATGCCCCTTACTCCCCATTTTAGCTTCATAACAATTCTATGTGATCAGCAGGGCTTGAGATATAACTGTTCAGAAATGATGCAGTAAGTTTCAGGGCTAAGTAGAGATTTGAGCCCAGATCTCCTAGATCTGAATGGCGGGGGAATTCTGAGAGTTGTAAGTCAAGAAAGTAACTTTCACAAGCTCTGAGCCTTGATGGTTTTAATGTGACACTCTGCTAATGCTTTGTTTCCTAAGCAGAGAAGAACTTCACTGCGTTACATCTGAAGAATCTGTTTTCAAGGTCTTGTTCAAAACTAAATGAATGAACCTATTTCATATCAAACAGAACTCTGAATTTCCTCGTAATACGTGGCCAAATGGGAAGGTTTCTTGTGTTCGGGTATGGAACTTAACATCTGTTTTTATGGCCAGGCTTTGGATGTGATTTTAACTGTGATAGACAGAGCACACAGTAGGGAAGCTGCCCCATATATAGGTTTCTACAAGGCCAACCAGGTATTTCTCTCATATCACAGGTGTGCCCAAGGTACTGGAAAAACACCCTCTCTTACAATGTTAGGACAGCCTGATATAGAAAATAATTATTTCTCTCAAGGCATTCAAGGAGGGATCAAGTATTTCTTGGACTCAGCCAGATAATGTCTGTGGGACAACTGTGTATTGTCAGGACATCAAGAATACAGGTGGCCAGCTGTATCCATCCAAACTTCTTGTCCATAACCTTATCATTCGCAGAATCACACAATAAGCAAAAATGAGCCCCTGCAGCCAAAGCAGACAGGGCTCTGGAAACTTCCACTGGAAAGGTACCAATGAAGGTATAATGGTCTGTGTGAATATGAGTGATTTTACCATCAAGATGCCCTGAAAACGTGTGATAGCATGCTTCCACATACCTATCTATCTCTGATTTCAATAACATATGTGGTACATGTAATGTCTACAAGTTGTCTACAAGAAGCAAGAAAGTATGATGAATTTGTATTCTTGAACACAGAGTTCTAGCTCCTGTCCTCTGATGATGCCGGCCACAGAGACTGGTGAAACATTAGGAAGAAAAACCTCCAGAACATGGCCAAACAGCCTGAAAACCGTACAACAACCATATGAAGAATTTGTTAACAATTATTGCCACTAAATGGGCACTTCAACGTGCTCTCACTTTGATACATGCCAGTTCCCTTCCTGTCATCATCATGCCATTGTCACACCCTGTAGACCCCTAAATACACCAGGAAGTTGGTTGAACTTGACAGTGACAGATTGAATGCCAGCTGTGTCAGTAGCTCATTCCAGCTCACCATATTGTCTTACTCACTATAGCTGACTCTTTCTCATCCTCTCCTTTTTTGTCCTCAACTGTTTGGATTCTACACTTACCAACACAAGAAGCTGGTCTTCCACTCCAGACTTTGTTATCCATACACTGTACTATTCGGTCTCCTTTTAACTGATATCCTGGCGAGCAATAATATTCGCACCGGGAGTTAAAATATGCACCATCTATACACTTGAATCCTCCATTAGGTGGCATTGAAAGGATTGGGCAACGTTTTTCTAGGGAATAAAATCAAAAACATATTAGCAGGACATTACAGGAAAGTTTGCTTATACTGTTTACTATAGAGGAAGAATAGTTTTGAGAATGTTTGCAAATGAGTAGAAATAGCAATGTTGACCATAAAGGAAATTCCATGGGGACTTGCAAGTAGAGCATGTCAGGTGATGCCAGAGTAACCCAGGCTTGCTGGAGGCAGGAAAGAGAGAACAGTTTTTAGAGCCTTTCTTCTCCTCCACACCTCAAAATACCAGGCAGACTATACAGCTTTAAAATTCAGCCTTCCTGTTTTGTTTTGTAACACCTACCTTGATAAAGCAATCTGGCAGTTCTGAATACTGGTCCACATTTTGTGCCTTTTTGATTGGCCTAATAAAGATGTGATCCCATTATGGACTTCAGAATTTGAAAAGGAGCTTTGTCAGTTAAAGCTGCTCTAGTAAGCCAGTAGGATCTCTGCTCAATTTCCAAAAACATACCCATTCACAAAAAGCAGCACTGCAAATACATGTCAATGCACTGAATGTCCTGGACTATATACATATAGTTTCTGCTTCATTTTCCAAGAAGGCCATTTCCACTAGATTTTCTAACAGCTCACTTAGATGTGCTACAATCTTAATAAGACAAGGACCTGCTTTTCATACTCTGTAAAGCACCATGCATGTTCATGTCATTATATATATTTGCTGCTTTCGTGACTTCTTCTTTGCCTTGGCCTGCTGGACAAGGGTCTCTTCAAATTGAGAGAGGCCATGATGCAATGCCTGCCTCCAGGCTGAACGCTCTGATGTCAGGGTTTCCCATCTGTTGAGGTCCATTCCTAAGGCCTTCAGCTTGTTTAGACTTGTATTATCCTCATCTGAAGTACATCAGTTTTGAAGATGACATGTTTGCTTTCCCAAATGGATCCACCCTGGGAAGTTGGGTGGACCTCTTCTGAAACGTTAGTTGTCAGTTTGTTGAAATTCCTGTATAATATAATGGCCAAGCAGCTGCCAATACTGCTTCATCCCACACTGTTTGGACCTCCTTCCAACCCTCCAAAGATGCATGAGGCAGTGCAGCAGCAGTGAGGGAGGAAGCTGCTTGGCCATTATATTATACAGCAATTTCAACAAACTGACAACTAACGTTTCAGAAGAGGTCCACCCAACTTCCCAGGGTGGATCCATTTACGTTCAGCTATAACAGGTCACTTGCTTGAGTCATCTTTACCTGCAGGCACCATTATTAAGGTGTGTTTTGTTTGCTCCTGTTCTCCGTCTGGGGTGCACTATAGTTTGGATTAATCCAGGGCATGGGAGTGGTTACGTGTAGAGGATCTTACTTCTAGTAAGAGAGCTGTCTCTGGTGAACATCCAAACAGTATATACATAATACGGCACATATAACTTTAGGGGGGAGGGGAGAATTGAGATTATGTAAATGAAACTAAGCTAACCATTTCACTGAAGAAGAAATCATTTTACTTTTGCTTATATGTTAAAGGCAAATAAAGACTGCGTAGCCATACAAAACTGAAGTGAAATGGATCTTCAGATGATGTGTGAGGCACTCACGTTTGCACACAACTTTCCCAGACCAGCGTTTATCTGACTGACAAATAAGCTCCTGAGGACCATGCAGTTCATATCCCTTCTGGCAACGAATGTCACATTTTGTCCCCAAGGCGTTTTTGTAATACCCTCCGTGAGGGTTTCTACAGCTTGCATAGCCATGTTTCACCTTGAGAGGAGAGCACCATGGTGTATCTAAAAGAGGAAAAGAAACAGGCGTGTCTGAAGTATTTTATGAATAAGGGGAAAAAAGCTGCTGAAGAAGTACTTCAAGTATCATTTTTTAAAATGTGGAGCTAGACTGGAATTTATTAAAATAAAATGGAAAATATAAAACAGCACAGAAGAAAATGTAATCATGCACGCAAGATTCAGTGTTGCTAAACTAAAGGCACTTGCTTTCTGTATGACATGTGATTTTGCATTAAATTCTGCATTTAAATCTTGAACCAATGAAATCAAAGGAAAAATGGCAATGAGAGAAGCAAATAAAGATTGGCTTGTGGATTCAGTCTGCCACCGTGTGGACGGTTAAAAAGATCCTCCCCCCCCCAGAAGAAAAGTAACAATGTGATTTTGACCAAACATAAGTAAATGCTATTTGTTTATTTAGCCTAATATGTACATGTCTTACAATGAAACTCTGTACTCACCTACACACCTACATGGAGGTGAATGGGAATTAGTTCACTGAGAAGTAAGTCCCAGTGAACAATGGGACTTACTTCTGAATAGACATGCATAACCCTGTGGTGTTGTTCTCTTATTTCACAAAATGTTTTTCTGTAAGACAATGGTTGCCACATGAGCTATGTACTCCCTGCTTTTAAAAAACAAAACAAAACAGCAGTTAACTGAATTCTATGCTAAGAAAAGCTCAGTTTTGCAAGCAGTAATCTACTATTTTAAGCCTGTATGTTTAGAATAAGCTAGTCTTACAATGTTTTACTTTGAGCCACATAGCCAAGTGAAAATAATGTAAAATTTGATACTGGTTCTGTGGTAAAATATTTGAATATATGCTGTATATATATAGCTGGATATATGCGCCTACCTTGCATACACAGCGAAAGCATCCCAGGCACAGGAATTTCACAGAAGCACATTTTTCTTATAAGCCCAATGTCACACATTTAAATCTGAGCCACAAAAACAGGTGTATTACAAAAAAAAGAGTCAGGCATGCAAGGAAGAATCTATGCATGGAAGATACCAAGCAAGCAGAGATTCTCACATGGTTTGCTTACTGGTTATCTAGGTAGCAGAATTAGCTCATATAAATTAAAGGCTATCTTTGTAACATGTCAACAAGACAACAATTGTACTCTCCAATGAGCATATATAACGTTATAGTGCTTTTTGCTGCTTGTGCAATTGCTGCTGAACCTGAACCACAGGATCAAGCAGTGGAAATGTTCTCATGTAACAACAAGCCAGAATTCTGTACAATTCTGGCTTATCATTGATGAATGAGGACATGTTATCGTGTTATTGCTTGCCGCTTTCTCCCAACGTAAACAGGAGCAACTGAACACATGGCAGCCCTTCCATCCATGCTTCCCTTATTGTGATGTCAAACCCCGGCATCCTTGCTTTCTTCTTTCCCAACAACCAGGCTCAGACAGCACAATATCATAGCTGGTGGCTGTTTAGCAGCTGCTTCTTGCAGTAGGAACAAGCAGTCAGTCAGTGTACACTAGCATGCCAGAATTCTATAGGACTCTGGCTTGCCATTCTGTGCAAACATGGTCTATAAGAATGGTTGGTTCACAAACAATCTAGATTGCAATGAACCAAAAAGCGTTTTGTGTATGAATCACAAAGTCTAACCAGCTTCCATATAAAATTCCTTCTTCCTACCTTGAGTATGGATATGTCTCCCAACCCACTCTGTTGCAGAAAATAATGAATTTTCAAATGTTCATCTCATTGAAATGGTGTGGTTTTTTGCTTTAATAAGATTAGCTCCTTAGTAAATAATTCTGCTTTTCAAAAACAGCATGCATTTAAGACTGGTAGAATTGCCACTGAGATACAAGCTCATATATTTTTTTAGAATATTGCAAGCTCTTATAGATTAACCATATAAAATTTGTCCCAAGCACTGCTGTGGGTTATTATACTAGCAGGACCAGATAAAAATGCTAAAGTTGGGTAGAGTTTGGAAACATTATTTTTTTAGACCACAACTCCCAGGATCTCTTGGGTGTTAAAATTTTGATATTTTAATGCTTTAAGATGTTGTTTGTTATGTTTTATGTATGTAAGCCACTCCGAGTAGACCTGGTCTACAGGGATGGGGTATAAATCTAATTAAAGTAAAGTAAAGGTGGCAAATTCTGGCAGTTGCAATGCAAAAATGGAGAAGGCACTGTCCTCATGATCAAAACACTTAAAACTATTTAACAATCAAGTAGTCTGACATGACAACTACCTAAGATAAAACTATGTATATGTTTGTGTGACATATGTGCTCATTTAAATCTAATAAATTAAATTAAATAACTTTAATAAATTCACCATTTATTTTTAACTGTATTTTAATTGTTTTTATCTTTTTACTGAATTCAAATTGTTGTAAGCCGCCCAGAGACCTTTGGGTAGTTTGGGCAGCATGTAAGTTAAATTAAATAATAATTCTGAATCTATCCAAATTCAGCCCTAAATCCTAGCAGGTTCCTTGCTATGACAATTATGAAGATTTAGATTAAATTCTGGACCATATTACTCCTATCCATCAAGCCTAATTTTGCAACTCTATGCATTTATGTCAAAGGATGAAGCAGCTATTACCCTAAATATGTAACTAGAAACTGTATCCTCCCCCCCACACCCTTACAGTGAGCAGGGATGAGATAATCCATATTAGGGCTCTCGGTGTGGTTCCAGCTGATAGAATGCAAGCTTGTATCAGTAATTTTATGGTTACTCTAACCAGGGCTGTGCAACATGCACCACTCCAGATTACTGCTGGACTGCAACATCCTCCATCCCTCACCATTAGCTATACTGTCTGTGGCAGATGGCAGCTGAAGTCCAACAAATAACTCCCAGTTTGGGAAAAAAAATCTCTGACACTCAGTCTGGCTAAAAAGAGGGTTTAAAAGCAAGTGAATTAACCAAAGTTGTATCCAGGCAAGACTGAAGTAGTCACACCTTGCAGACGACAGATGAGTGGGGAATAGTCATTACTAATGCGATATGCCTTCCCCAAGTTCTGAGTTTTACAGTGCTAGGATGCTTCTGGGAAAACTTTTGTGCCTGAACTTCTGCTGACAACAATACCAAGGAATGTTTAATTTCTTCCAGTTCCATCTGGCAAAAAGGTTGTTACTCATTTCCTTTCCATTGGAAGTGACATCCACCACCATTCACCCATTTACAGTTCATTATACAGTGGACCCTTGACTTACAGACGGCTTGACTTACAGACTTTTTGAGTTACAGACTTCTCTGGCCGCAAAATTTAGGTTTGACTTGCAGACTGAGATTTGACTTACAGACCAGAAAAAACCAAAATGGCACAAAAACGGCCTGTTACGGGATTAATCAGTTTTCAATGCACTGTAGGTCAATGGAGACTTGACTTAGAGACTTTTTGACTTGAGAACCGCCTTCCAATACGGATTAAGTTCTCAAGTCAAGACCCCACTGTAAGTTACTTCAATTATCTGGGTGTGACACAGTTCCATTTTAATGTATCAATTTCTATATTTTAGACTAAGGCAGAGGGGTACAGAAGTTAAACAAGACACTAAAATGAACTGAAAGAAAATAAATATGTATGTCTCAAACTTACCAATACTCAAACAATTGACCCTTGGATGCTACTGATTAACTTTATTAAGAATGGTTTAATGAAAGCTATGAATATTGGCAAAATAAAAAAGAAGCTCCCCCCCCATATATATATAATACTTAATATTTTGGTGCCCCCATTAAAAAAAATCTCACCCCCAACATGCTGAGATAGACTAACACATCTGCTTCTTAGGAAATTAGTACATAGGCTATGAAATTCCATTTAAATTATTAGGATTGCATAGTAATTACCATAATTTTCATTTTAGGACAACCATATGGGGTGCGGGTAGGTGGGAATCAAGCCCATGTGCTCCTCACAGGTAGAAATTAGAGACATGAAGATAGGAAGAATGCAACTAATTTTTTCCTTAATATGGGTTGGCTTCTTGATCTCTAAAATAGCAATCTGAGTGTTAGAAACCTCATGATAGGCAGTAAGTATGAGAACTGCTTGGAGAATGGCTAAATCCAGCTTACATGAGGCCTTGCGACTTTAAAACTGTGAATCTATTTAGCATACGTCCACTGCACCTAGCTTAATATTATTCCAAACCCTATCCATATACTCGGTATACAAATATACATTCTCATGAACAAGATATACAGATAAGGCTCCCAAACAAATACCATACATTATGTTGGTCAATTTTTTTTTTTTTTTGCTGTAGTAAGTATATAAGGGTTTCATCTGCCCATTCTAAAGCAGATCATTTCAGTTCTCCTAAATATCAAGACACTTTTTACACTGTGTGGAGGTGGGGGTACTTTCTTGTTCTTTAAAACCATGCCAGATTCTCACATCTGCCCATCAGAGCCATTTTACATATGGCTGTACACGTGCAGAACAAATGATATTTCTCTGATGGAGAAAGAGACACTTGTAAGCCTGCCAAACAGGCAGATATAGGAGCAAGATAAGGAGGATCAAATATTGAAGCAAGGTATATTATTAAAATAGCATGCCTGTGAATAAAAACATGAACATGTGAATCATACACAATCCTGTTTTACGAGATGCAAAATATTCAAGCTTCTTTGGATAGTTTATAGAAAAGCAGGAGATAATTGTTGAAGATAATGTATTTTTTTGACATGGACTAAAACCAGCCAATAAGCAGGCAATCTTGTGGCAATTTTAGAGCAGGGTTCCGCTGTCAGAATGACCCTCCAAGTGCTAAATCTGCCTCAACAGGCAGCAGAGTATTAGAGTGCAAATTTTGATCATCCGTGATGATTATGTACAAACTGCATAAGCTTCTAGCAGCATATAATAAAATAAATTGTGCAAAAAGGGGCCAGTACAGACATACCCTAAGGCTTCATGCTCCAAGCAGGAAAAGAAAAAAGCTCTCTTGCCAACAGGTGATCCTCATTAGTATATAAGCAAAGCATTCACCTTTGTATCTATTGCGGTCATACACATCTTCATCATCTTCTAGGGGCGAGTATCCTGATCCTACAATAGAAAACAAAAGAGAAACAACTGCAGCAAGAAAAGAAATATAGTACTTCTGAAAAGCATAAAGGGAGCTCTTGCAAAGATGAGCAAAAAGGGACCTGGGATGTAAAGAAACATCCTAGAGCAAAATGAACTGCATAAGCATTTATGTTTATTAGACTTGCAGGAAAATCAGTTTATAGTGGAATTGGTGGAACTATGGATTTAGAGATGTTTAATCCAAACGAAGTCTAATTATTACCCACTATATACTGCAAAGGAATGCTACAATTAATCTCATAGGAAACTTCCTTTACAAACTGAGGTCTTATGCAAGTCTTAAGCAAGATTTCACTATAAGCCAGTTCAGAGATGCATCAGCCATCAGAGCAATCAGCTATAGATGCAGTATTCAGATGTAACAGTCATTCTAAGTGCATGTTTAGGTGTGATTGTACTTAATCACATCTACTGTATTCAGCACAGCCTATGCAGCTGAAATGTTGGTTACATCCACTTCACAGAATGATGCTATTCTGGCCCATGGAAATAGCATCCTCCTTAATGATACAAAACAGAATAAAAGTAAAAGGAAATAATATACATAACTGAGTTTACCTGGATGAGTCGGGAACAGCAGGACATGAAACCAAATAATATATTATGAAAAAAAATGGACAGGATCTGTGACTGATTGATTCAAGGCAAATAATTTCCCATCATCTGGCTGGCACTATTAATGTCAATTATATCCATCACCAGTTTGACTGAGGAAAATGAGTTAATACCAAAAAGTGGTGAGTGAAATATGCCTTTGGTGATTCTTTTGTGCATATGCCAAAATTTAGCACATTCTGTGTTTAACTCTATTGAAGAGTCAAAACACCAGAAAACCTCTTGTCATCTATGTTACAGAGTATTAATTTTTTTGTTAAAAACCTCTAGTTGTGCAGCAGAAGTGCAGGGACTTACACAGCAGAATTAGCTTCAAGTCTCCCAAGAATAGACCACCCCCTTTTCTTCTTAGCTGGGACTTACAGTCTCAATATCTCACTCTGAGACATTGGTAAGAGAAAGAATAAAAGGTTTTATTTATTCACAGTTGAACAGATCAAAAACAGTATATTGTACAAAAGAACCTGCTTACAGCAACAGGTCTCAACAGACTCACAGCCTGCTTCTAGCAGACACCTGCAGACTACATTCACACAACTGCACACTAACTGCACAACTGGTGACTGAAAAGAGAGAGGGAAAAGACACTTAAGCAGAGAGGTGTGACTCTGCTGAAAATCAGAGGCAGTGAAGGAACAATTATTTACTGCTGGACTGACTGATAGTCACTCCAACCCAGAAAGGTCCCTCCCAGCCATACTTACTGAATGCAGCATATGAGATTGAAATAACTCCCAACCTGTATACATTAATTTTGGTACAGTAAAGAGGCAATATAAAAGGTACTCAGCATTGGTTTCAGGTTCATAGAGGACTACTGGTACCAAATACACTCTACGATTCCTCAATCCCTGATGGAACACACTGTAAACCAAAGGAAAATTAGATGTTGTATTTTAGTAACAACATATGACACAAACTATCATGTAATCAATCACACATTGTCCATTAGAGAAACTTGTGATTTCACACCTAAATGCTTAGGAAAACTTCAGCTCCTCAAAATGTTTCCAGGCATCCTTCAATGAGATGGTTAGTGGTAGAGAAGGCACCCAACACCTTCATAGCTGGTCTTCACAATCAACCAGTTCCTACCATATACTACTGAAGAGGAACAGTAGGGGCATTTTGAGACAGTTCTATCCTTAAGCTAAAATTGGCATTAACCTAAGCCCCCTGTCCCATGGCCCTCAATTGCTTCCTCATGGTGAAGTGATTCCAAATAAGCCTTGGGACCTTCATGTGGGAGACCTAGATAATTTTAATTTGTGCTTGGGTCACATGTTTTATGCAGCATAAAGCAAAAGGATTTCAGCCATCATGATACCAATATTATTGAACAGATAAGGAATTGCTTTTGGCACAAAGAAAAGCAGAGGAATGACACGCCTGACTAGGGAGATCACACTTGTTACCCTACAAATTGGTCAGTGGGCCTTCTCCTTAGTAAGTTTATTTACTTTACCACTGGGTTTCTCACTTTCAACACCGAAATGTGCAGTTTTTAAATTGACAACCCAACGTTTAACTGTTGCATATGAAGGGCCACTGTCACCCATAGTTTGTGACATTTCATCATGGATCTGCTTTGTACCTTTCCCTTGGAGAAACAGGAGCTTGATTATGGTCCTAAGCTCTTCCACATTGAACTTTTCTGGAGATGCCGCCATGTTCACTTTGGACCGTAAAGTAAAAGTTAAGTTAAAATCATAGGTAGTTGATTTTTGCATCATTGAATACAGACAAATTGGCCAACACACCCTGCAATTTATAGCTTCCTAGCTCATTTTTTTTCTGGGAAAGCCTAAATACTTATCAGCACCCCCTTACATACGCATCTGACATGAGGGAGGAAGAGGCTGAGAGGAAGAATGCACCACTGAAATTATCCCTGCCCCTCCAGTACACTTGCCCCACCAGTTCCCTTGTTTTATTGGACTGAGAAGGAGTCTGTTTGAGGAGGTCTGGCCAAGGTGGCAATAGGACTGCTGTCCTGCCCATCAACTGGTGTGCCCAGTGAGAGAAAGTTCTCTCAGGCAGAGGACATGTCAATCCACTCAATGCATGCCTGGAACCTGGATCTGTAGATAAAATTATTTTCCTGAAGGTCAATTTACCACTGCTGGACTTTCCTCAAGTCATCCTTAAGTAAGAGAAACTCTGCTCACAGTACTAGGTATGTCATGCTTCAGTCATCTGCTCCCTCCTTCTGCCTCTTTCATTCTTTCAACCACCACTCCAAGATTGTGCTCACTCATTCAATTTTGCTGTGCCCCATGCTATTGGAATAATTCCAACCCAGCACAGGCTATTTGCTGCTCCAATTTGCCTGGCAGTGCTGCCCAAGGTATATGCTCAACTGTCCAGTATGACTTGTCCTCTCCTTCCCCAATACTGCTGGCATATCTTGTTGGTATTCCTACTGTTTAGGGTTCAATCAGTATGCCCATTACAGTTACATACTTAGGCACTGCTGGCTATTGGTGTACACTCTTTTTGTTTGTTACAATCACTGGAAAAGTAACACAATGTATCATCTCCTTTTACACAACCTTTTTTAAGCACAGAAGAAACTTGCAGAAGTATGCTTATATGAGAGAGAACATTTACATATATCTAATGCTTTGCAAAAAAAGGATTGATTTACTGTTGATTCTAAACTTATAACCTGGTTGATTTGAAAAAGCAATTTCTGAGCCAAATAAATAACCACTAGAAGTATAAAAACACAGTCAAAAAAGTGAAAAACACTTCAACAAAATCCACAATTGGACAATAGATACTGTTACTAGAATCAACCAAAATGTCACAGAGTAGTGTGCAAAATGTTGCATCTTTTGGAACTCTTCAGGATTGATGATATAAAAAGGATGGAGGGAAACACGAAGAAACACAAACATTAGGCCAAATGTTGTAGCCATGAAACCCAGTTTTTGCATCCCATCCAGGATGGAGATTACAAAATGAATGAATTACTATTGCTGTGTTGCAGACCTCAAGTTACAACTCTGGATTCTGGGACAGAGAAGCATAACTGGCCTTACCGAGGCTTAGCATTCATACTTTTCTCTTGTCTCCTCTCCATTCTCAGCTTTCTAAAAAATCAACAAGCCTAATGAAAATATCTGCAGAACTCAAGGGACCTGAATACTATTTTTTTACAAGAAAAATTGTAAATACATTTTCACATATAAAGTACGAATTTATACAACTAAGCTATTACTATGAGCCATGCACAAAATGACTATAAAGAGAACAGTTAGATGTATTATATAAAAGTTAATATATGGTCTTGCTATCCTTTCAAGAACTAGTTCTTTAAAATGTTTTCATGAGCATCTGGCATTACATATTCCTCCAGAGGTTGCTCGGGAAAGTATGCTTTATTTCTGATTGATTGCACAGGTTTCAAGAAAAGGATTACATAAGGCTTCTGCCTCTACAGAAATACCATGTTCATTGAAGTCATGTGGAAGACACAGTGAAGCTGTTCTTGATGAGCTCCTCACAGTGAAATAAACAACTACTTGTATTTGTTCCAGCAGTCGGAGGCACCCTGAAAGGGGAGGAATGGATCTTACTCCAGTGAAATTTACAGGAACTAATCCATTCAGATACTACCATTCTCCATAATGTACCAATGAGCTCTGATAAGTGCTTCACAAATTATCGAACCCTCCACAGATGCCTTTTCATTCACAGGGGAACATTTCAGTTCTCCAGTCTCCAAATCAGAAACAAAAGACATGCATTTAATTTTGATTTTTTAAAAAAAAAATGTTTTCCTTTAGAAAACATGCCTTTTAGATCACACAATTTGTATATATACAAAAAGGAGCATAATAAATCTGGTCTCTAATAACCTTCAAGCCATTTGTTACAAATGTCTCTCTAAGTGGGCAGGGGCACTGGTTACAAGCACAGAGAAGAATTTCATATGAGGAAAACCCTCAAAGGTCACTTACTATATTGCTACCACTGCAGGTTTTAATTTGTCTTTAATATATGGCATAACTAACCTACAGTGAAAATGCAACATAAAGTGATTAATTACTTCAAAATTGTTTGGAATGCAAGAGAATCTGTGATCAGTCAACTTCCCAATACGAAAACGTGTTCAGATTGATGATAATGAAAGCATCATCCTTATCAGATATCACGGGAACACTTAAGTCAGAGAGAAATGTATGCAATTCACAGTTTGGCTTCATGTCTGAAGCACTTTTTATATCTGACTGACCAATGAGCAAAACTGGAACATAATGTCCCCAGGGTAAAATGTGGCATTTATGTCAGCAATCAATATTAAATGAGATATGGAAGTTAGGCTTGTGCCACATACA